TTGCTCACTCGATACTTCTATTTGATGTAAATAACTCGTTACATTTTCATGCATGGCTCATGGCCTTCAAATTTGGGATCAGCTAACCCAAGTAAACATACATTATTATATAACCTGAGCTACTTTTGGTTCTGCAGTGTACAAGAAACACCACCCACCATCTCTGCTTGATGAGGTGTGGAGACTAGAAAAGATTGGCAAGGACGGAGCTTTCCATAAGCGTTTGAGTCGGGAAAACATCAACACTGTGAAGGATTTTCTCACCCTACTCTTCATAGACTCTTCAAGGCTTCGGAATGTAATTATTGACTTTTCTTATCTCAGTTAAATTTATTTTTCAATGCTTTATAATTCACACTGATAAGTTTGAAGTTAGTGTCTTTTGCATTTAAATGATACGTTATGTGTCTCAATCTAGTGACCATAAAAGTTTATTTATGTTAAAATTTATTTTATTATCTGGAAATGCAGATCCTTGGCACAGGTATGTCTGCTAAGATGTGGGAAGTCACAGTTGAGCATGCGCAGACATGTATACTTGATAAGAGGATGTACTTGTACTGCCCTCCCAGTTCACTGCAGAGAACCGGTGTGGTCTTCAACATTGTGGGGCAAGTGATGGGACTACTTTTGGAATGTGAATACATTCCTATTAGTAAGCTGTCTGAAGCACAAAAGGCAATCCACCTATCACCTCAGTTTACTTTATGTCTTTTTTTTTATAATCCCATTTTATTTCTTAGTCATGTCTGATTTTTTGTGATCAAATTTTGTTGCTAGGCTGATGGCCAGAAGTTGGTAATTTCTGCCTTCGAACACTGGGAAGAAGTAATCCCGTTTGATGACGAAGCTTCTCTTAGAGGTGCTTCTTCAAACTTTACCAGTGCTCTTCACACATCGACCTCACCAACGGCAGATGATCCTGATGGAAGCAAGTTTTTGGCTTCTCAAAAGGTTGGTGGATTTGATTATCCACACCCATCTGTCTCTTCTCCAGATATCATCTCATCCATCTATTCTGTGGGGAGCACCAGTGGCTTGGATGATTATGCCTTGCACAACATTGATGGCCTGGGTCTTAGATACGACCAGACTTTGAGTTTCCCAGCTCAAGTCACCAACTCCCTGATCTGTGACACCGATCCCATGGCTCATGCTTTATTTGATGAGGATAATCTACAGTTTTTTGATGCTGATCTTCATTCCCAGAACATAATTTCAGAATCACAAGCTGATCTACAAAGCGCTGTAGATGGCTTCTTGTTGACACGTTCCACAGCTGTTGCCATATCTGATAAAGCTCAGAGGAGATGGACAAAGCTATTCAGTGTGCTGAAGTGGTTCTCAATTAGGAGGAGTGTGGCTCTGAAACGAAGCCGAGTTCGAGAAATTCAAAGATATTAGTTATCTGGTGTGTAAATTGTTTGCTTACAATTGCAAATAATGTTTAGTGCTGCCCGTATAATATTTACGAGTGCAGGTGTAGAGTGAGATCTATCGGAGGTTTTGTTAGATGTAAATACATCTGGTAGTTTACTAGTCTTAGTTCTTCTGGGCGCTAGCCAGAGACAAATAAACTCTCAAAGCAAGTTGTAATTCGTAAATATGTAGAAATGATAGGATGCCAATATTCAGTGGCTTTGCTGCGAAAAAAATAATTTTAGCGAAATCATTTGTTCAATTAAGGTATCCATTTTCAAGTCATGATAGCTTTCTCTTCAACTATGCAAGTTTACATGTACCCTCTCTCTCTCTCTCTCTCTCTCTCTCTCTCTCTCTCTCTCTCTCTGTTGCCTGTGTGCTGCCTAGATTCTAGACTGCCTAAAAAGTATCGGGAAAGAAGTTGTACTTCCCAACTTGAAGTTAGGATTTGATCAAAACCATTATTGAAACTGAATAACTTAACCAGCCTTCACATGCAAACAATAGTAGCAACTAGTGTAACAGGCAAAGGGTACGCATTAGAGCACTTCCACCTCTATGGACAAGGGCAAGGCAAGGGCTGTCACTGTTTACGTGAATAGTAGCAGCCCTTGCAATTTTGTTTCCACCCTTGTGGTTATGGGCAAGGGCAAGAGCAATTACTATTCACATGAGATATGAGGAGATGGATTTGTATAGAATTTTGGCGTGGAAAGTAAAAAATATAGTTAGATATTTATAATAATAATAAATTATGAATTTTTAAGTTTTTTTTTCCAATTTTTAAGTTATTTAAATTGGTTGTTGGCGTTTGTCACTTTGCCCAGACAGCAGCACGGGTTGGACTTGCCTGAATTAGTGAGTCCCACGCCTTGCCCAGGCTTGCCCTTGAGCGCTGGAGCCGTTTGCGGGCCGAGGCCCTGTCCTGCCAGGGCAAAAGGCCTTGCGGTGAACTTGCTCTTATCTTCAGTCCATTGGCCAATAACGTCAACTAGGGGAGCCATTTTTCTATGATCAGCCACCATTTGCCACGGAAAATTGGTTCAAGGAACCTCAAGCTCTGCCTATAAATATGTCCTCTATTGATAGAACACAAAGATAACTGCATCAAAGGCAAGAAATGCAGAACCAAAAAGGCCATGTCATTGTGCTCACATATCCTGCTCAGGGGCACATAAATCCACTCCTCCATTTTGCTAAACGCTTAGCCTCCAAAGGCCTCAAGGCTACTCTAGCCACCACCCATTACACTGTCAAATCCATCCATGAAACCTCTGTAGGAGTTGAACCCATCTCTGATGGCTATGATGAAAGTGGATTCAAGCAAGCCCCAAGTGTAGAAGCCTACTTAGACTCATTCAAAACAGTTGGCTCAAGAACTTTATCAGAGCTCATACTCAAGTTCAGTGCCTCAGGCTCACCTGTCAACTGTATTGTGTATGATTCATTGCTTTCTTGGGCAATTGATGTGGCCAAAAAGTTCAATATCTATGGAGCTGTGTTCTTGACAAACTCAGCTTCTGTCTGCTCCATGTACTGGCATATCATTCATGGGCATCAGGCTTTTCCTGTGAAGCAAGAAACTGAGCCTTTGCTGATGCCTGGCCTTCCTCCACTTGCTCTTTCTGACTTGCCAATTTTTCTTTCACAGCCTGCTCCTCACTCTCCCTATTTGGCTCTCATCTTGGAACAGTTTAGCAGTCTGGAGGAAAATGACTGGGTGTTCTGCAACTCCTTTGAAGAGTTGGAAAGCGAGGTAAGTGTGTGCAATATTCTCACTCAGATTTTGATCTTACTTGAATTAGCTGAACAACTAATTTCAGTAGTTTGTAGATTACCAGAATACATAACAAATTGGGTTTATTTCTTTTAAGTAGGAAATAAATTGGTGAGCGGGAATTTTATATTATATGTCAGAAATTAACTATAATATACAAGCATCATGAAAAAAAATCTTTCGTGATATATCATTTCTCTTTTGAAAGTAATCAAATGCTAAGAAATTTCAGGACTAAAAGTCGTTTAAATCCTTTTAGAATATTTGGTGGATGGTGTATAAACCACTAAATATAAAGAGGTTTGACTTTTACTTGCTTGATGATGATATAAAACTCATATTTCTTCAAAGATCTAAATCATTTTGGTAAGGTCAATATTATGATTATCAGTGTTTTACTTTTCCTATTTGTAAAGTAATTGCAATTCTAAATGTTCTTATTTTAATTCATCTCTGTTGAAAAGCTCGTGAAGGAAATGCTGGGGCTGTGGCCCCTGGTGATGATCGGTCCAATGGTGCCATCAAGCTACTTGGACCAAGAAATTGAAGGAGACAGAGATTATGGAGCCAATCTTTGGAAGCCAACTACAGACCAGTGCATGAAATGGCTGGAGAAGAAACCACCTGAAAGTGTGATATACATTTCATTTGGAAGCATGGCAGATATTGCAGCTAAACAGGTTGAAGAAATTGCATGGGCCTTGAAAGCAAGTAATCAGAATTTTCTATGGGTTGTGAAAGAGCCCAAGACCAAATTGCCAGATGAATTCCTGAGCTCAATGGGTGAAACAGGTTTGGTGGTGACATGGTGCAACCAACTAGAGGTTCTAGCGCACCAGGCTGTGGGTTGTTTTATAACTCACTGCGGATGGAATTCCACGTTGGAGGGGTTGAGCCTAGGCGTGCCGATGGTGGCAATGCCACAGTGGAGCGACCAGCCAACTAATGCCAAATTTGTGGAGGAGTTGTGGGGGGTTGGGGTGAAAGTTAAGAAAAATGAAGAGGCAATTGTGAGTAGGGAAGAGCTAGAGATGTGTATAAGGGAAGTCATGGTTGGAGAAAGAAGTGGACAGATAAAAAAGAATTCCCTGAAATGGAGAGAGGCTGCAAAGAAAGCTGTTAGTATTGGTGGAAGCTCAGATTACAACATCAATGAATTTATACTGAAGCTTCTTAGTGGATAGGGAAATAAGATTTGGTAGTTGGAGGAACTTGCGACATGTTAATAATGTAAAAATGAACTTTTGACACCGAAAGAAGTCTAAGTAACAATAAACTGAAGCAATCTAGAATTCAGCATATCAACATTTTACAGTCATCAGATTGTATGTTTACATATAACTCTGGGAAAACAATGTATGAGTTTGAAAATTTATACATCTGCATTACTGTGAACAAGTGGTCTTTAAATTTGGAAAGAGACTACATCCGCATTCTTTTTCTTGAGGCAGACAGCAGGGGCAATTTAGAGAGAGCAACTCCCCATTTCTATAGTATACCAGTGTTTGGTGCTAGCTAAAAGGGAAAAAAAGAAACCCAGTAGGTGAAATGGGCTCATATAAACTCCAAAGTTTGGAAGATGACAGAAAATGGGAGCAACCGAACACCAAACTTTCAGTATCAGGACTAGTAGCAGTTACTCTGGAAGTTTACAGGCATTTCCATCTTTGCATACTTCGCCCTGTATCAGAAAGCGAAAACTAAACCTGAGCTCTAGACTGTTTAATGTCGAACAGAAACTTATGGTTCAATTCCAATTTAAATCTAATAAAAGGTATTGAAGGATAATAGCAAGGAAATGCTATTGAAAGGTGCTTGCCTTCTTCTTTCGCAACTCCAAAACCTCTTCTAAAGGTGGTCGACCTAGAACAAAAACAGGTTATTGACATCATATACCACAAGTTCAAGAAAGGAAAAAGTACAAGAAGATTAGCCATGGATGTGAGTGATCAGGTTTTTATAGCAAGTAATACTTCAAGAACTCTTAACTTCTTTTGATAGAAAATTGGTTAGATGCAAGAAAGGATTTATTTGCCAATTCCAACAGTCTAGAAGTTACTGATTTGAACATGTAAGTCATAAGTCTGGTGTGGTTCTGTTATTAACTTATTCTATTATATTGGAGCAAAAGAGTTCAAATATTAGCATACTATTCCTTTCGGCCATGGAAGCTAAGAACACATCAATTCTGCTCAAGAACCATGAAAAAAAAACTACTTATGCGATATGATTTACCTGTGATTTGGAGACGATATTTAGCCCAAACACCATAAATAGCACCAGCTATAGTTGCAATCTGTGAACAAAATGTTTTCAATGAACCCCAGATTAAAGATAACAAGACAAGAAAACTATTGTAGACCACCTAGTTCTACAAGATGGAAGTAGATGAATCCCAATGCAGGTAACATTAGAATCGACAAAGGAATCTCACAGGTTCGTATTTGGTTATGGCATATACCCATCCAAGCCCTACTTGTTCATACAGCTTTCTGAATGCCTGCAGAAGTTTCCATTAGCCAATGCCTGTTAGTCAGCTTAAAAAAACTTGCGGGTTCAAAATTGCTGATGATAGCATTCTCTGCACAGAGAATGAGAGTTCCACAGAAAACTACTTGTTGCAGATTAAAATTAGAAGTTCAAACATAGTAGGAAAGGAGATTACTTCCACATCAGTGACTACTGTTCCATCGGAGAGGATGGCATGAATGTTTCCCATAACCTAAAAAAAGCAAGAATTTGTCACTAAATTGTAATATATCTGTCAAAAAGATGTTCTAGCATCAATCTATTTTTCAAGCTAGGATGTTTTTCATATACACTTTCATGAACATTCTGCAAATGGCAAGTTGTAAGTATAAAAAAATTGCAACATTGCAAAACTCACAGTTTTATAGTCCAGCCCTTCATTCTCCTCTGGGGAGTAGTCATCTGAACTTATGTCAACAAACTTGATAGTACCATAGAGCTTATTTCTCTCTCTTAGCATGTCCACCTGGAAAATATAAAAAAACTTCAATTATGAATAAAAACAATTCATATTCTCCATACACACAAAACTCATCAAACTCTTACATTATAAAAAGATTAGTGACAAGAATATGTGTTTGAAGAAGGTTGACCTCTCTCATGCATAAAGGGCAATCCCCATCATAAAGCATTTTAATCTTCCAATTCTGGGGTGTTGGTTCTTGATCATCTCCTTTCTTGGGAGGAGTTATGGGATCTGCAGCTGCCCCACTTATAGCCCTTATTGCAGATTTAAATCCTACAAATGGATAAATATGCATCATAAAATTGAACCATTTTGCAAACTGCAAAAATTTCTTCTTCATTCTTTGATATCATATAAACCAAACCACTCACCAGGTTGGTGAATAGGAGCAGCTGATGTGAATGTTTGGGGTTGATTCTGATGAAGCTTGAGTTGGAGATAGAGAGGAATTGCAAAGAGAGTTGGGTTTCTCTGTCTTCCTCCAAATTTACACGCTGTAGCAGCTGCTCTCAATGCCATTTGCTCTTCTTCTTGCAAATCTTGGAACCCAAAAGATTCATAAGTTAGTTTGCTTGGACTGCCTTGGTTCATAAATCATAAGCTCATAACTACCATGTTGACGTGGCAGCATGCGATTCACCCATAGTAACACACGTGGCCTAGTGTTTGGGAAAGTAGCATAGCATCAAACTTGTGGTTTTGGAACCTAAAACAATATGAGCAAACTATGGGGGTACCACCGCAAAATTAAAAATACAAAATTGAACCTGATAGCAAATCTCGAGTCTTTGCGCAAATAATAAACAAAGTTTGGCTCTTTTGTCATCGGAGTCCTTACAGATTCATCAGTCATGGCGTTCCTGCTTCGCAATTCCATCACTTCCCATGTCCAATCTCATTCACAGGTATGCTTCAATCTTTCCTTGCTTTTTCGATCTGAAACGGCGTCGTTTTCATTTGGTTCGGCAATCTCTCTTGCTAAATCTAACTCTTTCACTTGAACAATCAGAGGACACAAAACGACTCGCTTTCCCAATCGCGCCGTCAGTTCCATGTCGAACCAGGGCCTCGCGAGAAAGCTGTGAGTATCTCTCTCTCTTAATTTTTTTTTTCAGCAATACATGTTTGCTTTCATTTTAATTCGATGTGGGCAGCTGTTTGTTTCATTGTCGTGTTTGAGATTCATCCACGAAATTTGGTATTTTAGCATTTTAGATAGTTAGGGTAAAAACCCATTTGAGCAAATAGCTTGAAAGTTTCAGTTTTAGTTCTAGAAAATTGTACGGATATTCATGCCAGAGCTTCTTGAGCTAATTTCAGTGATGATTTAAACCAAGAGATGTTAAAAGTTGGGGGCTTTGCGTGGACGGTTTCTGATTATTATCAAACCTCAAATTTTTAAGATTGTGCTGGTTTTGTATTTTTCTAGTTCAGTTGTGCATTGTGCTTGAGTAGGACTGTTTAACTTTTGCAGCTCTTGGCAGAGGACCCATCTCTAAAACGATTCAAATCGCATAAGAAGGGTGTGGCGAGAATTAAAAGACTTGGAGATGTTCTTACCGTTGTTGTTGTTGCTAGTACGTAATGCTTTTGCTTATGGATTATGAATATTTTATCTTTTTCACTAGCTTTTCACAAATTTAATTTACGATGATACTTGTGATTAGACTTACCTATAAAATTCTTCTGACTTTCTGAATGGTCTTGGTTGCATGAAGCCTTGGTCTTGGTTGCATGAAGTTTTGTTATAATGTTTATGGATTTGTTATTTTTCCTAGTCTTTGTCTAACCTATGATCAATTGATTCGATTGCATTTCTTGTCTGGTTAGTAAACTCTGCAGTAAAACCAGAAAACTTCCAGCATGCATAAAAATAAAGATGGAGGTGGGGTGGGGTGGGGGGGTGTTAGATTTTCTTGCCCTTGTAGCTTAAGCTTAGAACTTGCATTCCCCTCAACAATGACATTTGCTTTTTAGGGTTGCGAAGTGTGTTTATATTCACACACTTATCCACCTCCAAACTAGGGAGAGAATCTGTTGTTTTTACATTCATGGAAAAAAAATATATAAATACTTTGTCCTATCTGTGTAAGTGGCCTTGACAACAATGAAGAATAGCAATCAGGATCATCATGACCTGATCAGAGAACCAAACTAGTGTTGGTCAGCTGTTCAAATTTGTTTTGACTAATAATCTTGTGTTCTTTGATTTCAACCATTCCGTTTTTACCTCCAAGATAGGGTTGAATAATGGAATGCATTTTAAGTGTTAATTGAAGTTAATATGGTATCTTGTGTTGGCTAACGTGATTTTATATCCGTGTATTTGTTTGGTTATACAAATGGGACAATATCAAGGAATTGCTGTCTTGTTTTGCTAGTTACAGTGGTCCAAGTGCTCATGTGTCTATGATGTTTATTCAGGCTGCTGCTATGAAATATATGTAAGAGCAGTGATGCGAGAAGAGGCTAGGAAACAGGCAGGGGCTTCAGGTGCAAGTGCATGATCAAGTGTGCATGTTGGTGGTGTTTTGGTTGCCTGCCAACCATGTTGGAACTTAATGAATCTGACTCTGCTAAATAAGTAGAAAACAGATTATGGTGTTATGCTTTGGGAATACTGTTTTGTTCTGATCTCTTTTAGGTTTTGCTACTTAATAAAATCTGTTCTATAGGCATCTTAGAACAATTTCCATGAATGCGGCTGAGTGTTCTCTGTTTTTGGCAGTGAATGTTTTGCTTAATTTGAACCCAAGGATAGTTGCACTGAATGTACTAAAATTCCGCCATACAATTTTTATCGTAGAACTTTTAGAACACACACCACCTTCTCGATCAACAACAATTTTCTCCAGTGCTTTAGCATTCGTAGCTATGCATGTAGACTGCATAATCAGCAACACCATACCCTATTATTTCTACTATCGTGGGTGAGGTGATGATGGCGGCGTTTGGGAGGTTCCATTTTTTGGGTATGCTGGCTAGAGCATTGAGCATTCCATCTGTACCTACCAAGGAGAAAGGAAATTGATCACTCCACTCATGGACTCTTATGAAATGATGAAAAATGGGCTACGATTGGGCTCATATCGATAGAGTGGTAACGTCAAGTATGGAAGCATGGTGGAATGTTATGATTCAACAACTCTTAAGCACCTTTCCCCTTTATGAGCCGGTTTTGATACAACAGTTCCAAAACTATAGGATTAGGGAGGCCTTTTCAAATTAAAGCACACTTTATTCTTATTTTAATTACAAATTGCAACCCAAGTTTTTGACTTTAGCTAGTGGCGGCTTACTCAGAGGAAAAATATATTGGCTAGTGATGATGATGAGACGATGTGCTGTTTCCAGATGGTTCCATGTGACTTCGAATTAGAAGCGGCTCAAGTCTTCAGAAAGAGGATAATAAAGAAAAATACAAGACAAGAATATTAGATAAGAAAATTTGAGAAAATAGTTGAGAAAATGACATCTTTAGCACATGTTGCTCTTAATATCTTCACATTCAATTTTGAAAAATAACAACTCTCCAACATATCTGTGGAAGCCTAATAATGTGCATGATGTCAGAAATTAAAATTTTGTTCTCCTCTGTTTTTATTTATTTATTATTTATTATTAATTTGTAATCTTCCCACACCAACCTTCATCAAGAACCATACAAAGTGTTTGATAAGATTGGAAAGGGCATAAAGAGGTGGGGCTGATGAGGCTACATTTTAAAATTGGGAGCATTAGTTAGCTTTTTGCAGTGAAAATCTGAATTATGCATCACTGCATGTAACATATTATCTGTCCCAGAGACCCCTATGATATAACATAATGTCAACAAAATTCAAAAAGAGGATCATACACCACTATCATATATATGGCCTGACCACACCACAACAAAGGTGCACCTTTTTCCTTTTTTCTTCTTTTGGGTCAGTGGTTTTTTTTTCTTTTTCTTGTCCCTTCAAAAATAATTAAATGCCACTTAATTAGAAAGTGATTATATTATATACAACCACTTGACTTCTTGGAGCGATAACTTAAGATTTAAACAGAAATCATTTCTTTTGAGTACCAAGTTATTGGGGAGTGGGATTTAGACCAATATTTATTAAGTGTTTGGGGGTTTCGAAAACGAAGGTTGAGGTGAAAGAACTTAACTAATTGAGCTATACCCTGCTAGCACAACTTATGTATTTTCACTACTTTAATTTCGAAAAAATGAAAATTAATCTTGAATGCAAAAAAAATGACCTGACAAACTGGCTTAACTCGTAGCTAGCTAACGTTATGTAAATCTGTGTGGTGTCCAAAAAGATTAGTTAGACGCGAGAGTTACGACAGAAAGACCGTGATATGTTCGAATCTGTGTGCTAAACCTTGGTCTAAACAATCATTGCTTCACTGTTTCAGAATCATAAGCCACTCAACAGAAGGACACGTGTCCCTAACTGAGGACAGAATGGTCATTTTGATAGGAGTTTGGCTTGGTGGAACCGAAGCCATCATAATCTTTAGATGAAGATTACCATACGGCCCCCATTATTGTACAGCTAGGAAATTTGATTGGGCCAAAGTTCAAAAATAACACCCATCAGCATCATAAGCTATTTGCAAATTTTTCTGTATGTATGTCTGAGCTGTAAACATTGGACTCAAATTCAGAAAGAGAGAGAGAGATAAAGTCTTCTCTTATCAGGAAAAGGAAAGGTTTTTGGTTTGTGGGTCTGAGAAAAGTTAGTGTCTTGTTGAGAGAGATTTTTGAGGGTGGGGAAGAGAAGATTATTGGGTGAGATGGCAACATTTGCAGGTACAACCCAGAAGTGCAAAGCATGTGAGAAGACTGTCTACTTGGTTGATCAGCTCACTGCTGACAACAAAGTCTACCACAAGGCATGCTTTAGATGCCACCACTGCAAGGGCACCCTCAAGGTGACTTCAATTTTCTTTCCTAAAACACACCTACTGATATAAAGACACTCACTTTTGCATTGATTTCATGGTTTCTGATGCTCTTTTGTTTCTGTTTTTGTTGGTCATGTTTATATCTGTGCCATGCTTTTCTTACATCATTTTTGTTTGTGCTCAATTATGGATATTTCTATATGGTTTCCTTTTTCTTATAAGATTTGGATGATCATGATGGATGGATGTGTATAAATGAAAGAAAAGAAAGATTGAGATTTCCTTCTTTTACAATTATAACTTGTTTGATATTTGAGCATGGGGTTACTTACTTAGCTGTCTACCTGGGTTAGTGAGCTCAAGCCGTTGATCTTCGGATGTGGGCATGTAGATCCACTGGGAATTGTATTACTGTGTTGCTCTCTCTTCATTTGATACATCCAAAAATTTATTTGCATTGACAATGCTCTCGAAAGGATTTCCTTTTAATTGATTCATTCGTAAACATTGTGATCGATATATACTTTGTCAGCTTGTCATCAGGATATGATAATGGTGGTTAGGTGCATCTTAGTATGCCTACTAATATGTTGCGTAAGTAGAGTTTTAAGGAACATGAATGTTTGTTCGGTTGAGCTTTCCTTGATGATTAAAATTTGTAGTAATGTGAAACTGCTTTCTGTTCTTAGAAGTAAGATTGATTTTGAATTATGGATATGTTCAAAACTGGTGATTCACCCCAGTTGTCAGATACCTTCAAATTTCTGATCAAAAGCTTGTTCATAATTGTACCTGGACCACTTTTTCATGGTTGTAATGAAGGGACTTGTTCAAAAATCCATCCACAGAATATATTGAGTATCAAGCTAAGGAAAAGCTTTCTACAGTGTGAGAATAAATTATACTGCCTTATTCACCTTAGAATTGAATGCTGGTAACAATGTGCTCACTAAATTGCCAACCTTGAATCCATTACGCCTTCTAAGTTCCTGGATGGTGATAGAGGTTCTAATAAATTGAGTTTCTGAGCCCAGGTGGACCGATTAAGGGTTCAATTCTTTTTCATTTGAAGTTTGTATCTAATTCAGAAACTGGGGACCTGCTTGCCACATTTAATTGTGTGCGAATCTTTAATCTTTAAAAGATTGAAAAGTTTTGCTATGTTCTCTAGTTGTAGTTGATTGTTTAGGTATTATGTTTATGAGATGTCTTATATTTAATACTTACTTACTTCTGTCTATGCAGCTTAGTAATTATTCCTCTTTTGAGGGTGTTTTGTATTGCAAGCCTCACTTTGATCAGCTATTTAAGATGACTGGAAGCTTGGATAAAAGTTTCGAAGGTTATAAGCTGCGATGACTTGTCTTAAGGCATATTTACCTATCTGCTTGCTAAATTGTAATGTTGAATTCATTTTTTACTATTGTTGTGCTTCAGGTATACCAAAAACTGTTAGAGACAGATCAGAACAGGTACATGCCTTTCTTTTTCTGATTCCCTTTTATTTCTTCATTCCTACAATTTATATATGGTTGAATGAGAAAATAGAATTTATGTAGTGGGATTTAATCTTGTTTCTAGAAGTTTATAATAATCACGCTAACTGTTCCAATTGTGAGAAAATTTACACAGGTCAACAACAGTAAAGTTTCTAGTTTATTTGCCGGGACTCAAGATAAGTGTGTTGCTTGCAAGAAAACAGTTTACCCCATTGAAAAGGTAAATTTCTGTTCAACATATCAATGAGCTTTGCAGGATTGAATCATATTAACCTTATTAAAAACGTATTTAGCCAACTATAGTCTGCTTGTATGGAACTGTCTCGTTTATATGCAAACACAGATTTGATCCGATATGGTTTTCCGACAACTTCAATCACTTTTACCTGCAATTATGAATATATCAATGGCATGACATTTTAAAATCCTGCATTCTATAATCTGATTGCTTCATTTTTCAGGTGGCAGTTGATGGCACATCATACCATAAGCCTTGTTTCAGGTGCAGCCATGGAGGCTGTGTGATCAGCCCATCAAACTACGTAGCTCATGAGCATCGTCTCTACTGCAGGCATCACCATAGCCAACTCTTCAAGGAGAAAGGAAACTTCAGCCAGCTTAGCAAACAGGAAGAAGTTCAAGGGGTGACTGAGAACGCAGAGGCTTAGTAGTTAAATCGAAATGATCATGCTAAGTTCGATCACTCTCACAGTGAGGTTTCTAAGCAAGAGTCCGATGCAACTGTCATAGCATACAAGAAGAGCTATTGGGGTTCCCTTTTTCTATTTATGTAATATGTTGCCGGTACAAAAATTTGTTTTGCGCATTGTTGCTAAGTTCTGAGTGTGAGTTTGAATGGATAATATACAGCGAGTTAAAGCCTAGTTTTTCCAATAAAATAGCAACAGGCTGAAATATCCTATGTTTTTCAGATTTGACTTTTGATATGGTTTCATATATAATATGGCTACATGAGTGTCTGCCTCTTATCTTTCATCTTTGCCTACAATACAAAACCAACTTTCTGTCTCCTCATCTGTAGTTTTCTTAGTTATATTCATCATTAAAATAGAAGTTGATGGCCCTGGCATTTGGGGCCATGCATTAGTATTCTACATTAAGGTGCTGGTTGGCTGCTTCAATTCCAAACAGCCCAAATTTGACGAATTCCTCCCATGACATGGCTCTTCTTGACTCACTCAAACGAATCCTTAACAATTCATAGTTAGCTGTCTTTATCAAACACAGTTGACGTCTCACTCCCCAATTCATTATATGTCTTATGTATGACCTCAAAAAAGACAACGTATTACAGGGTCAAAACTAGAGATCATGTTTATTTGGTCCACACTTGTAGGGAGAACTTGTTCGTAGGCTACTGGTGAAAAATTGTTGTAGGCAATTCTGGGATTGAGCCTTTTTGGTGCGTTTGAGTTCCAAAGTGTATATTGGGTCTTTGTTGTTCCAGTCATGGACTTCCCTCTTCTCCCAAAACAAGTCACTTCTATGTTTCTAACACAAGATTACAAGTTTCATTTGATTTTAGTTAGGAAGAGAAAGAGCAAGCAGCGGCTTGGCATATCAAATGCTGAGCCTGAGATTTTCATCCAAGTATTGAAAAATTCAAGGACATTTATATTGAAGCGTGAGCATCTAACCCAAAATCAAGTGCAATGAGCAGAAAAGCTCAACATCTTTTATATTATTACGCATGCCTTTAATTCGCCGATTGAATTCACACTCAACGATACGATGATTGTCATTCAGCTTCAAAGGCCAATTTTTGTCAAAGTTATGGTGGAGACTAGTCAAAGATTGTTCTCGTTGTCACGCTTTTAAAGAGGGAATATGTTCCTACAATGATTTTGGCTAGTCTAGTTCTTCCATACTTCCGTTAGAAGCAAACCAAGCTGAATGATGATTATCTCTCACTCTTAGATATAAAGAAGAATCTCTGCTACCATTTTGAGAAAATAATTTAGATCAAGTCACTTTCTGATCAAGAAATTGGATCCATATAAATGGATTGTGAGAAGTAGGGTAATGCTATCAAAAGGGACAAGCCATGGATAAGCAACTCAGTAATATGATATATATCAGTGGGTTTTCAAAAGGCAAAATGTAGACAAATTTTTTGTGATTCTTGTACGAGTTTGTTCAACAATGGAAAACGCATGATGCCATGCCAGCCCCACATCGAAAGTGGGATTTTATTGATTTCATGGAATCTGAGGACCCCAAAATGCATAATCAACTGAGTGAGTTGCATGCCTAAGCAAAAGTAGCCTCATGTGAGCTGTTAGCAATTGTCCTACTTAAAAAGCTTTCCCATGAATATGAAGTGGTGCAATATTCCTCCTAGTGAATATGGTTTTATATATAAAGTTAACAAAGAAAGGAGGAGGAGAAGAAGAGAAAACGGAAAGGAAAAGCCGTCTTTTTTGCTTTGTCGTCTTTGGTCTGTCTTGCTCTGTACAACGAGTGAAAAAAAGATGAGAGCAATCAATAATGATGCTGTTGTTCGGGAAGTTTCCGTTTTTACCTGTGCGCTTGAAGATGTCTATTTTTTGATGGCTTGTCTCAACTCTCAATGTCAAAAAGTACAGGCTTGATGATTAAAGTTAACTTTGGAACCTTTTATAGCTCAACTATTGTTGCTTGAGAATATCTTTTGCAGTTGGATGCTGATATATTTGTTCCCCGTTAAAAATTTTACGAGGAGGAAAATTTAAACTCGAATGCAGAATAGGAAGCACATACGTTAAAACCTTAATTTGTTAATCCTATTTGAGTATAATTATGAGGTTATCTTATTTGAGCATAATTATGAGGCATAAGGGCCATAGATATATAATTACAATATGCCTGGCCCTGCTGCTTGACTATGATGATTGTGTTGTGCCGTGTGCATGCAAGATAAACTTTCACTTTTTGCTGTTACAAAAATAATTTTTCCTAGTTTTTTCAAGTTCAGAAACAGAAGTTTTAACTATGGATGGAATCAAAGAAATTTTCTTCTTGAACTAGAACTTCCATTAAACAAGAGCTCTTCATTACATTGATTCTAGAGATTTCACCCTTTTCTATACACAAGATTACTCAGATCTCCACCTCAAGAAAAGTAAAAAAGAAAGTCTATGCTCATTTAGTTTTCTACCTGCCCCCTTAAATGAACTCTGTTGAAGTTTCAACTCAAAAGTACTTTTAAACAAGTCATGCAGGAGGAGGGCTTTGATCTTCTACAGATGGAGCATCAATTGATCCATATTGCTCCACTGTTGCTTACGCATCATGTGGGAAGATTAGGAAACATGGGATATCAGCCTGTGGCCTCTGAGATGCTGTGTAATGAGGGCTGCCATGTTCTTGACCTGGCAGTACTGGCAGACTGATGAGTTGATGATGTTGCTGCTGTTCTTGGTCGGTGCCCTCTCTCATGTTTACCCACCTGGTCAAATATTTGAGATGATTATTTTGAGTGGTTTTTTCAACTTTCCATTAATGAGAAAGAAAAAGCATTGAACAGAACAATTAATTCACTCTTTTTAAAAAAAAAAATTCATTGGGTTCATTCAATTATTTGTTTATTCATTTAGCCCATTACTGAAACGAGTTCCAAGCATTTTGTTTATTTATTTATTCATCTACTTAATGATTTAGGCCGTTACAGAAGGAAACTCAATGCTCTTTCCCTGATTTTCTGCTGATTAACAAATGAAAAGAATCTTCTTTTAATATGTTCTTGTCTGAAATATTAATCATAATGCTTTCACCCTAAATAAATAAATAAAAATTTATTTATTTATCAAGAAAATTTGATTGACCACTTTTAGCAGAAGAACAGAAGCAAAGGTTGGTTTGGCTTGGGGAATTCAGGGAACCCAGTAACTTCAAAACCATGTATGCAATTTGAAGAAAGAATCTACTCTAAATGTGACAGGCTGATATAGAGATTTGCATCAAATTAATTTATCAGATGAGATAATGTAGTTAAATTAAAATTTAATTACCTGGTTGTCCTTCTCCAGCTCAGAAGCCTCAGATCTTCTGGTTGCTGTCAGTACTGGCTTCTCTCTCACCCTCTCCTGTGTCTGCTCTGCTTCTACCTGGTTTGAGTGGCTTCTCTTCACCTTTGCTTGCTTCTTTGCCCACAAACCCTTCATCACCTCTGAAAACAAAAACCCAGAAACCAAAATCCAAGATAAACAATTTGAACCCACAATTAAAATGGAAAAATGATCAAAAACAGAGAGAGAGAGAGAGAGAGAGAGAGAGAGAGAGAAAAGTTGAAACCTTGAGTAGTGATGAGCCTGTAAACTTGGCCAAGAACAAGAGTATCAGTTGGCCTGAGAAGCTTTATGCGTGTCAAGCGAACTGAAGTGCTGTTGTTGTTGTTGTCTTTCTGGTTCAAATTCTTGTCTTTTTGATCGCCATTGTTGTTGGGATTGGAGGAGCACAAGGTGGTGGAGATGAGCAGAGCAACATAGTGGCCAGGATTGGCCTTCATGATCTCACTTGCACTCACAGACCAATAAAATTTCTCTTCTTTCCCACTTGGATGTTGTATAACCAAAGTTGCTGCATCAATTGCTTGACAATTTCCCATTATCTCCCTCTCTCTCTCTCTCTCTCTCTCTCTCTCTCTCTCTCTCTAACACAGAGACAGACAATGAAAGCTGAGGAAATGGCAGGAGAGGGAGGGAGGAAGGTAGGGGAAGAGGAGGTGGTTTGAGCTATACAACAAGCTCTTTATAACCACCAATATCCCCACTTCTCATCCTTTACTTGTCCATATCTCTCTCTCTCTCTCTCTCTCTCTGCAGGTTTCTAGTACTTCAGTAATTATGGTTCAAAAGAATAATCAAGCCTGAGGAGGGGTATCTTGGTAATTTTGTGGGAAGACTGTGGGCATGATTATCCAATGCTTCATGATGTGTCGAGGAGTGATTGGTTGGCTGGACAGAGAGAGTTTAAGGGGTCCTCCTGGTTGTATAACATGCGGGTTGTTGTTAACCCATTTCTTAATTAGATGCGTTACATTTGCGACAAGTCGTCTAACGTTTGCGAGTTAAACTTTAATTTATGTAAGATGACCATACGTTGGTACCACGTCACCACATTAACATTAAATAGAACATATGATATCTCTTTAAATTTGCATAAAAAAACTATGTATTTGTGCCCCTCATCCTGAGAAAAACTTTCAACACAACGGAATAATACTTTCTGCTATTTCCGATCAATAACATGTAAAATGACTTTTTCACGTGTCATTGTATTATTGATTGAAGATAGCAAAGCAGTGTCATCCCGTTACAAGTAAGTTTTTCTACTTGATCACCTCCACATGAAAAAATCAGTAAATATGGTATAATTTTAATTAATTAAATGCACGTGTGGCTGGCACCACAAAACAACCAACTAAGACCAACCAAAATTGCGACTTTTCAATTTCATAACTTATTGACAAATTGAAAAGCTATATGGCATGGCCCCATATAAATATATAATACATTCTATTCTAGACAAAGGACCACAAATGAAAAAGACGACATTGAAGAGAGCATATATCCATCCAATATATGATACATCTCTCTCTCTCTCTCTCTCTCTCCTCCATTGTTCCCTCGCATTGCCCACCAAACAAGACCGGAGCGAGAACGCGTGAGAAGAATTGTTTACGTTTTCGTTTTCAGTTTTCGGGGTTACGGAAAAACACAGAGAGGAAAACGCGAGGAAGCTGGGCGTTTTGTTTGAGGTGGGCCCCAGCTCATGCTATTTGTACTTGAATACAGTTTCGAAGGCCTCAGCTTTTGAACACGTTATGTAAGTACGTGTCGCATGTGAGCAATCTTTCTTAGCTTCGGTCATTCTCTGATTTACGTTACGTTCTTGCGTTTTGCAAAAGGGACTTCGAAAAGTGATAGCCGAACCACTGGGTTTTTTGCTTTCTGTTTCTTCCCTTTTCAATTCTTTCCATGGCGGCCACCCAAAGCAACCTCCATTTTTCTTTACATTATAAAACAAATCTCGTGCTCATCCGAAAGGGCGGTCGCGGTCCGATTTGGTCCGATTTAAACTTCAGACTGAATACCAAATCAATGTAGGCATTGTGCGGTGCAGATAACTATTAGTGATTGATTTGGTTCAGTTATTTCCATTCATGAATGATTAAAATTAAGGGGACGGCTTCTTTTACCTTGTAATACGATTGTGACGTGCATTATTTGAGACTTTTAGGACTTAGGGCTGACTATAGCGTATGATGAATATGAGTGGTAATGGGAAATTATTGTGTTCAAATATCATTCCATGCTTGACCTATTGCAGATCATTGCAATTGGGTAGGGGGCCACTCTAAGGTTTCCATGCTCGGTTGTTGGAATGAGGAGCAAACAAAAGTGATACGACTAGATCAAATCAAACTAGTGGAGCCGCTACTCTTATCAGATTTTCTGTCTTCGAAATTACCAATTCATATGGCCCTCATATCTCCAAAAAAATACTATTTTATATTTGTTTGTGCAAATAATCTCACGGGAGAATATTCGCTTCTAGATCCTTCAACCTTCGATCTTCCTTCTCTCTCTTCCTCGATTCCTGTAAAACAGATTGGAGTAAATAGACCACACCCGGGGGGTGTTGGCCAAAGGCCCTCCGATGCCTAAGTTAGTTCGAGTGTTTGTAGGAAAACAATAGCTAAGCAAAGGGTACGGAGTAGTGTTTATGTAGGGTGTGAACCAGGCGGCCGGAGCCGTGTGTGGTGGCCGGAGCCGTGTGGAGAAAATATGGAGAGTGGAGAGGGAGAAAGAGAGAGTTTCGGGTATTTTTCTCGGGTATAAGGAGTAGGTTTAGATGTACCTTGAATGATGAATGAAGTCATCTATTTATAGGAGCCTCGGGGCTAGGGTTTCGTAGAGAATATGCTGAGTTTATTCTCTACCCAAATTCGTAGGGATCGAGTCGGACTGAGATAATATCTGATTTAATGATATTATCTCTTTTTATGGAGATAATATCTAAATTAAACGATATTATCTCTTTTTATGAAGATAATATATGAGATAATGACATTATCTTCTCTTTATTAGGATAATACCTTAATTAATGATATTATCTTATTAAATAAAGATAATATCATGTTAATTAAGATGTTTATCCCAATTAATTAATTGGCCAGATAAACTGGTTCAATTAATTAATTAAAAGAGATAATCTTCTTTTCCACTTGGCGCGCTGTGATTGGAGACGAAAATATTTGCTCCCACAAATGCCCCCCAACTTCTGCATGGCGCTTGTGTGGCATGTAGGAGATGAAATTATTTTTTTCGGGCTCTCCAACTGAGTCTGGGCTTTCTTCTGTGAGTTGGACTCCTTTTGCAGATCGGATTCTCAATTGGTGTAGGCTTCTGACTGTTGTTGGAGTTGGATTCCCAGTAGGAATGAGCTTGCGATCCCTCCTTGACCTGGGTTGTCCAACCTGTATAAATACATGGCTTTTCTTCACTCTTTCTCACATCACAAACTTAACTTCTCAACCTTCTAGCTTGAGAAAGATATTAGAGAATTTGTACTGCTTTGTTGAAGAGAGAAATTTCCGTGCATCCAGAGTAAGTCGAGCTCGTGAAAATATATATGCGCATATATATATTTTTTCTGATTTTTGGCAGCAAGGAGGTGGTCCAGCATGAGCTGCAAATTCGTGGGTCTGAGTACAAAGATCTGGAATGGAGCTGTGCTTGCATGTGCTGGGCTTGAAGGGAAAGCATGGAGGAGCCAAGCCCAAGGCAGAAGGATGGAGGCGCTGGGCTTCGGAGCAGAGGCTTGGAGAGGCGCTGGGCCTTGCGCGTCGTGGGCTTGCGCTGGGCAAGCAGGCCGTGCGTGCTGGAGCTGGAGAACCGGGCCAGGCTGGAGTCGGGCCGCATGCGCGCTGGGCTGCGTGCGCTGGGCTGGAGGCGCTGGGCTGCGTGCGCTGGGCTGGAAGGAATGACGGGCTGCTCATGCTGGGCTGCTCTTTTTTTCTTTTCTGTTTGCTGCCAGCTTTTCCTTTCCCTTTTGTTTTGTTTTTTTTTCCTTTTTTGTTTTGTTTGGGGTTCTAACTTGTGGAATTTTCTTCTCTTCTTGCAGTTGTTCGTTGACTAACCATGCCTTCCAGAGACGGTAGCAAGGCTTCAAGCTCTCAGGTGCCTTTGTATTTGTGGGGAGGTTCCGAGGTGTACAAGAAGAGGTTTGTGGCCAACCTGCGCCGCGTTACAAATGAAGATCAATTCCAGAGGTGGCGGGCTGCTTATGCTTCTGCAATTCCTAAGGATGTGCATATCAAGCTGGCGAAGCCTTTGACTGACAACATGCCTTGCGGGGATGCGAATGATCCAAATGCGAGAATCATCACCTTCCGTCCCTTTTACTTCTCATTGGGCTTCAAATTCCCGTTGTCGAAGCTCTTCAAGGAGGTGTTTTGCGCCATGGGGTGTGCTCCGAGCCAGTGTACTCCCAATGTTTATCGGGCGATCATGTGCTTTGAGAATCTAAGCCGTTTCTTCACGTTGGAGCTAACAGTGCGAGAGTTCTTTTACTTTTTTGAAGTGAGGTGTTTCAAGGAGTACGCACAACTTCGCACCTGCAATGTCAAGCTGTTTGACAGTCTTAGCCAAGGAGATCACGTGTGGCATGATGATGTGTTGGAAGTCAGCGGACGGTGGGAAGGTGATGTCGGTGATGGTCCACTTGTTCCCATCACCTATTGCAACGGTACGTCTTTTTTCTGGTTCCTGATATGCTCTTTTTTTGTTTGAATTTCTTGAAGCGTAGCTGACTAACTTCTGTCCTTTCCTTGTAGCGGACGACATCAGCAAGAAATTGGAGCTTGAGCCTGACATGGCTAAGGTCCGCCGCGCTTTGAACATCCCCCAAAAGTTCCGTGAGTGGCGTTGGCTGTTGAGCGAGTATCGGGAGGAGGACGGTGGTCTGCCCCCAGTCGAGGATGTCGAAAGATGGAAGCAGAATGGTCCGGACCCTGATGATCTGTCTGCTGAACAAGAGGCATGCTCTGCTGAACCTCCATCAAAAAGGAAGGTTGAAGTCAAGTCGCCGAGAACTCAAGCTACCTCTTCACGGGCGAGGAACGTGTCTCCTTTGAGGAAGAAGCCAAAGTTCCATTCTGCCGAGAAGATCCAAGTAGGAGTTGTTCCCGCCTCATCTGCCAGGGTCAAACATCTTGTTGGTGCAGACAGCAAGAAGATTGGCGGTATGCGCCACATAAGGGATGCTCCCCTTAAGCCTCTTGCTGACGAGCTTGGAGGTCATGATCTGCTCCGCGAAGTGGTCCGTGAGCGATCTAGCTCACCCGTTGAAAGACAAAGAGATGCGGATGTTCCTCCCCGAAGTTCGGGTCGTTTGCACCAGTCGAAGAGTGGAGGTCGATGTGGGAGGTCTGCTCATCCATCCAACCGTCATGATCCAACTGTTGAGTCACGGGCAATCAAGCATGGAGTTGATTCGACGTCGCAAATTCCTTTGGAAGTGAGGTTGGCGGAGGCTAGGAAAGCAAGAGAGTCATCTGCCCGAACAAAAGGTTCTTCTGCAACGTCAGCGACTGATCCAAAGGTGGACAAATCTAGCCCTGCAGGGGATGCAGGCGTGTCTGATCTGCTAAAGACGCAATTTCTATCAAGTCCATCCTCTTGTGCTGAGCTGGTTGACCAAATCCGTCAGGCTGGCGATCTTGGTACTTTTTCAAGTCTTTCCTTGGAAAAGCAAAGGGAAGCGACACTTCATCTGCTTCAAAAGGGAGTAGTTTTTGCTGCTGAGACCATTCGGAACTCGTCTGCTGTTGCCCCCTCTTCTGTTCAGCTCAGCGAGTTGGAGAGGAAGAATGCCGAGTTAGTCAGCAAACTTTCCGCCGAGCAGACCCGTTATGAGAAGAAGACGTCTGATTTGCGGGCGATGATATCTGAGTTGAAGAGTTCCCTTGCTGAGAAGGATTCCGAGCTTAACTCTTCTGCTGCTGACTTGGCAAGTCGAAAAGATGCTTATTTCCACCTTGAGCGCAAGAATGCCGACATCTCTCATAGCTATGACAAGCTTTTAGCTAGACTTCACGCCTACCATGAGTCTGCTGAGGAATCCAAGTCTGAAGTGGCCATGGACGCGTACAAGCTGGGCTACTTGGACTGCACAAAAGGATATGATCCCTACTACGCCATTGGAGATGAAGACATCGAGATGCTCTATCCAGACTTGCCCCCTGCGAAAAGTGAGGAGGCTAATGCTGTGAACATCGAAGGAGCTGAAAAGCAGGTGACTAAAGAGGCGGTAGCTGAGGAGGATGCAGCCGATGAGGTGGTGGCAGACGTCATAGATCAGGCATGTGGAGCTGCTGAAAGCGTTGCTGATCAGGCGGACGCTGAAGAGGCTGTAGATCAGGGATCTCCTGCTGGCGCTTCGGAGTAGACGAGGACTCCTTTATTTCTTTTCAGCTTTTGTAGTCTGCTTTTGTTTAGAATAATCGGTCTTGTTTGACCATCTTCTTTTTGTTGAACTTTGGCCGATTGGTCACTTTACTTAGGAAATTTCAGTTATTTTTTTCAACTTCAATTTGCATAGTGTCTTGTGAACTGCTTGAGTAACCGGCTAGTGTCTTGATTGCACATCTCCCTTTGGTGCTAGGGTTCCCCTTGAAGGACTTCGAACGTGTTCTGCATATCCCTTAGGATGGCTTGGTCGTCGCCCTGCGTCTCCCGAAGGACGCTACTTATGGGCAACTGTGTGGCTATCCTGCCTCCCTTAGGAAACGGATAGGAACCTGGATACTTCCCGCAGGAGGCATGGAGACCTTCTTTTAAGAAATTCCTGGCGCACCCTGCGTCTCCCTTAGGACGCTTTTTTAGTGGGCTGCGTCTCCAAACGGACGCTTTTAGTCGTCGCCCTGCGTCTCCCGAAGGACGCTGCTTATGGGCAACTGTATGACTATCCTGCCTCCCTTAGGAAACGGATAGGAACCTGGATACTTCCCGCAGGAGGCATGGAGACCTCCTTTTAAGAAATTCCTGGCGCACCCTGCGTCTCCCTTAGGACGCTTTTTTAGTGGGCTGCGTCTCCAAACGGACGCTTTTAGTCGTCACCCTGCGTCTCCCTTAGGACGCTCCTTATGGGCAACTATATGACTATCCTGCCCCCCTTAGGGAACGGATAGGAACCTGGATACCTCCCTTAGGAAATTCCTGGCGCACCCTGCGTCTCCCTTAGGACGCTTTTTATGGGCTGCGTCTCCCGAAGGACGCTTCTGGTCGTTGCCCTGCGTCTCCCGAAGGACGCTGCTTATGGACAACAGTTGTGTTTTGTAGGTAGATGAGACATTTTGGAATGAGAAACTGAACTTATATTGATATTCATAAGATTACAGTCCTTTATTCGAAAATGGAGATCACTGAGTACAAAAACTTGAAACTTCTAGCAGTCAGGATGAAGCATTACGGATAATACTTTCGGAGATGGTAGGCATTCCATTGCCGTGGTATTTCCTTCCCATCCATGGTGTCCAGCGTGTAGCTTCCTCTGCCCCCGGACCGGCTGATTACATAAGGGCCTTCCCAATTGGGTTTTATTTTCTTAGACCCTTGTCTTTGTGCAGTGATGAAGGCTTTTCTTAGCACAAGGTCGCCAGGTTGAAACTGTCTGATCTTGGCTCTTTTGTCGTAGTAGGACTTCAACCGCTGTTGATAGGAGGCGACTCGCACAATGGCCTTCTCGCGCTCGCCTTCAAGTAAGTCAAGGTTGAGTCTCATCTGCTCGGAGTTCTGCTCTATGCTGCCGACTTCAATGCCTATAGAGGGGACATTGACGTGAGGAGGAATGATCGCTTCAGTTCCATAGGCAAGGGAAAATGGGGTTTCGTCAGTCGACCTTCGTTTGGTGGTGCGATAAGCCCATAGTACTCCGGGGAGTTCGTCCACCCATTTCCCTTCGGCGCCTTCTAGCCTTTTCTTCAAGCAGTCTAATATGACTTTGTTGGATGCCTCAGCCTGCCCATTTCCTTGTGGATACCTTGGAGTAGACAGGTGTTGTTTGATCTTGTATTTCGCAAAGAAGGCGGTGATCTGCTTGCCAATGAACTGTGAGCCATTGTCAGTGACCAACGATTGTGGGCAGCCGAACCGGCAGATGATATTTCTCCAGATGAATCGCTCCACATCGGCTTCTTTAGTAGAGGATAGAGCTTCGGCCTCGATCCATTTAGTAAAGTAATCAGTGGCGACGATCATCATTTCTTTCTTGGCAGGCGCCGGTGGCAAGGGACCCACTAAGTCGATGGCCCATTGCATGAATGGCCATGGACTGTTTTGCGGATGGTAAACTTCGGCAGGCAGATTAGGGATCGGCTTGTATCGTTGGCAACGATCACATCTTTTGACATATTCAGCGGAGTCGTGGCGCATGGTAGGCCAGAAATAGCCTACGTTTAGAGTTTTCTGGGCGAGTGACCTGCCCCCCGAGTGGTTGCCACACTCGCCGTCGTGAATTTCGCAGAGGACTTCAAGTGTTTGAGGGTACTTTATGCAGGTGAGATGAGGGCCGGAGTATGATCTACGGATGAGCTTGCTGCCGTGCATATAGTATCTCGCGGCCTTCTGCTGGACCTTCCTAGCTTCGGACTTATCCATTGGCAGGTTTCCATTCACTAAGTAGTCGATGATGGGGTCTTGCCAGCTGGGGTCCTCATCAATCTGCATTGAGTCGATCGGCTCTATTTCTTCGATGCTTGGCCGGTCAAGGTGTTCAACTGGGATGGAGCGTCTGAACTGGGTGTCCAGTGCTGATCCTAGGCTCGCCAACGCATCTGCATGAGTGTTCTCTGCCCGTGGAACTTGTTGGATGGTGAAAGTAGGGAATTCTTTCAAAAGTCCTTGGACTTTGTCGAGGTACTGAACCATTCTTGGGTGCTTTGCCATGTACTCGCCTGAGGCTTGATTCGTGATCAGTTGGGAGTCTGAGTAGACGGCCAGTCTCTTGATCGACAGTTCTTTCGCTAGGCGTAGTCCTGCAAGCAGTGCCTCATATTCTGCCTCGTTGTTTGAAGCAGAGAAGCCTAGTGTGATAGCTTGTTCCAACAAGGTTCCGTCTGGGGTGATTATGACGACTCCCGCTCCCGCTCCCTTGTGATTTGATGCTCCGTCTACATGCAACTGCCACATGTCGTTAGGTAGGTTCGAATCGGTGGGGAAGGTGTCGTCCGCTTTTTCCTTGCTTTTCGCAACCATCTTCTCTTCTTCGGCTGTCGGAGTAAACTCTACAACAAAATCTGCTAAAGCTTGGGCTTTTATAGCAGTCTTCGGCCGGTAGAGGAGGTCGTATTGACTGAGTTCGATAGCCCATTTCATGAGTCGCTGAGAAGCGTCGGGGCTGTGAAGGATCGATCTCAAAGGAAATTCTGTTATGACAATTATCCGGTGTGCTTGATAGTATGGCCTTAACTTTCTCGCAGAAACCACAAGCGAAAAAATGAGCTTCTCCATTTTCGGATAGCGAGTCTCTGCATCGAGGAGAGCTTTTGAAGTGTAGAATACCGGATGTTGTGCCCCCCAGCTCTTCTCGGATGAGAGCTGAGCTGACAGCTGAGTCGGACACCGCTAGGTAGATGTACAAGTCTTCGCCTGGCATCGGCTTTGAGAGTAATGGAGGTGAAGTGAGGTAAGTTTTCAAGTTTTGAAAAGCCACTTCACACTCGTCATCCCACTTATCCTTGTGTCCCTTCTTCAAGGCTTTGAAAAATGGCCTGCATTTGTCGGTAGATCTAGAGAGGAATCGGTTGAGAGCTGCCGCCCTACCCGTTAGACTTTGTATCTCCTTTGTTGTGGCAGGTGACTTCATGGTGAGTATAGCCTTGATTTGATTTGGATGTGCCTCAATTCCTCTTTGGGTGACTAAGTATCCAAGGAATCGGCCGGACGAGACTCCAAATGTGCATTTGCTCGGGTTCAACTTCATGTTGTATTTTCGGAGTATGCTGAATGCCTCGGCAAGATTCTCGATGTGGTCTGCTCGCTCGGGAGCTTTGACTAGCATGTCGTCTACGTAGACCTCCATAGTCTTGCCAATTTGCTCCTTGAAAATTTTATTCACCAGCCTTTGGTAGGTTGCTCCGGCGTTCTTCAGCCCAAAGGGCATGACCTTGTAGCAGTAGGTACCTCTTTCGATGATGAAAGAGGTCTTTGCCTTGTCGTTTTCATGCATCATGATCTGGTTGTAACCGGAGTAGGCGTCCATGAAGCTTAGCAGTTGATTGCCGGAAGTTGAATCGACGAGCTGGTCAATTCTCGGCAGTGGAAAGTTATCTTTAGGACATGCCTTGTTGAGGTCAGTATAGTCGACGCACACTCTCCACAGGCCTTTATCTTTCTTTGCTACTAGAACAACGTTCGCCAGCCATTCTGCGTATGAGACTTCTTCAATGAAACCGGCAACTAGAAGCTTGTCGATCTCGGCTTCAATGATGGCGACTCGCTCGGGGGCGAAGTTGCGTCTCTTTTGCGCTACAGGCTTGATGGCTGGGTTGACGTGTAGGCGATGGCAGATGATCTGGGGATCGATGCCAGGCATGTCAGATGGTGACCATGCAAATACGTCTTTGTTGTTCTGGAGGAAGGCTACAAGCTCTGCCTTTTCCTCCTGGCTTAGGCGCGAGCCGATCCGCGCTGTTCTCTCTGGCTTGTCAGGATCAAGGGGTACTAGCTCAACGTCCTCCTCGGGCTTCCATCCTTCTTCAGGATAGACCTCCGGACGGATTCCCTCAACTTGGTCCTGATTCTTTGATTGCTATTGGGGAGTAGTTATTCCCTTTCCTTTTTGGCCTGCTCGGCCGTCAGGAACGGGATCTGCTTCCTCATCTGCTTGTTCTACTCCCTTTAGATCTGCTTGATTCACAGGGAGGAACTGTGTTTGCTTGCCTTTCTTCAGCCCTTGAGCTGAGCATTTCCTCGCCATCGCCTGATCGCTGTCGATTTGGCCGATCCCACCCAAAGGAATTGGGTAGCGAATCTTCTGATGCGTGGCGGAGGTGATGGCATTGATCTTGCTGATCCATGGTCTGCCTAGAATGCCATTGTAGGGTGAGACTTCATCAATGACCATGAACGTTTGAGAGCTGATTACAGGTGGGGCGTAGACGTCGAGCTCTATCGTGCCCACGGTAACCGTTGTTGCTCCATTGAAACCAGTCAGTGACTTGGCTGATTTATTGATCTTTGCCTCTAAGCCCATCTGTTGGATAACTGTCAATTGTAGGATGTTGGCCGCACTGCCCTCGTCTGCATGGATTCGGCCGACCATGGCCTGAGCGATTTGAATGCTGATGACAAGAGCGTCATTGTGTGGTAGATCAAGGCCAATTAGATCTTTCTTTTGGAAGCCGATTATAGGGTCGTCTTCTGCTAGCGGAATGTCGGTTGAGACTTGGGAGATCATAGTGGCTTGTTTGATCTTCCTTTTTTTTTCCTTGCTGGTCAACCCAGATTCCTCGGAGTCGGCTAGGATTGTGTTAATCCTTATGACCTTTTGGGGCGGCTTCTTGGTGGTGTCGCGGTCCTCTATCTGTTGGATGGCCTGCTTAGCGATGAATTCTGTGCAGTGACCTTCCTTCACGAGTTCTTCGAGGTGTGCTTTCCAAGCGAAGCAGTTGTTCGTAGTGTGTCCATGCGTCCCATGGAAGGCACAGTATTTGCTAGTATCCCTCCTGTCTGGATCTCCTTTCAAGGGTGGCGGTCTTCTTACCCAAGGTTTGTTTTTCACTTGGGCTAGGATTTGATGTATAGGGATAGTGAACTTGGTGTAGTTCTCTCCTGCCTTAGCGTCCTCTTGTGGGTGTGACCTGCGCTTGTCCTTGTTCTTGTTGCTAAATCCATCGCTTCTTTGGCCCGCCCGCTTGGTCTGCTGATCTCCCTGCTCAGTGGACTTCTTCGCGGCAATTCGATCGTCATCCCAGAGCGCGTAGCGTTCTGCGGTCGCGAAGACCTCTGCTAAAGTCTGGCTGGGAGTGATAGTCAGCTCGCGGTATAACTCGTGTTCTGCTGGAAGACCTTTCTTGAAGGCAGATGATGCGATTTGGTCGTCGCACCCTACGATGTTGGCCTTTTCTGCTTTGAACCTCTTGATGTAATCTCGAATGGATTCGTCGGGCTTCTTGCGCAGGTTGAACAGATGATCTGGGTTCTTCTTGATCGTCCGATAAGAAGTGTATTCTTTAGTGAAGACATAGGCAAGCTCCTTGAAACTGTTGATCGACCCAGATGGCAGGGTGTGGAACCAGTCCTGAGCTGCTCCTCGCAATGTCATTGCAAATGCCTTGCACATCAGTGCGTCGTCGGCCTTGTGGAGGATCATGACACTTTTGAAGTGTTTTAGGTGGCTCTCGGGATCGGAATCTCCCTTGAAATGCGTAAAAGAAGGCGTTGAGAATCGCTTCGGGGGAGTAGCCTGCTCGATTTCAGGGGTGAAAGGAGTAGAGATCGCTTGGTCCATCTCCTTACGTAGTGCATCCTCGAGGTTCCCGCTAGCCTTCAAGTCTCGAAGTCGGTCATTCACAAGCTTCTCAACATCTTCCACGCGTAGTGCTGGTCGATCACGTTGGCGCCTTTTACGATTTGAGCGACGCTGATTGACCTCCTCGTTGGTCTGCAAGGGTCGGTCCTCTCGTCCGCAATGCCTAGGAGGCGTGTTGGTGGACTGCGATTGCGAGGGATTTTCTGCAGCTTGACGGCGAGAGTTGGTTCTCCGAGAGCGGGCAATGGAGTGCCTCTCTTCACGATCCTCATTGCGAGGGTTACCGGGTTGACCTCCCTGGGAGCCTAGCCTTTCGTGAATATTTCTCTGCGAGTGGGCAGCGGAGCGCCTCTCTTCACGATCCTCATTGCGGCGATTGTCAGTTTGATCTCCCTGGGAGCCTAGCCTTTGAAGTACATTCCCCTGCGGGCCCAGGCGAGCACGGACGTCAAGTCGTGGGCCGAGCCTTTCTCGCACGTTGCTTTGTGTGTGGCTTGCAGATGCTCGCGACATGTCGGCAAGCTGATCACGTGGTTGTGCATCCCCTTGTCTGCTCGCTCCTGCTCGACCCGCTTGGTCCCCGTTGAGCTGCCCACCGGTGCGTTCGTCTATTCTTCTCACTTCGCCTGGTTGTCCAAGGCCAAGATTTTGAGCCACGCTTATTTGATTAAGGAGCTGCCTCATAAGAGCGTTTTGGTCGTCCATTCTCTGAGCTAGCCGGTCAACTCTCAGGTTGAGATCTGCTTGACTTTGTGGATCGGGAGGAGAGAAGCGTGTGGAGCCCAATTGCACACGGGCTAGGGTTTCACTGGAGGTGTACGCGAGAGCGTGTGTCGAGCGTGGAGGCAATGGAGGGAACGCTTGAAGTTGCTCCAAGACCGGGCCTAAGTCGGTGGTGGTAACGAGCCCACCTTGATGGGAGGTTCCACCATGTTCGGCGGCGGTGCCACGGAGGTTGCTAGATTCGGTCGCGGGTCCGGTAGGTGGTACGGTGGCGAGAGGTGGTGGTGCCACCATGTTGGTCGCGGGATCGTGGGTGGAGTGGCTTTGGGCCGTCACGGATTGAGCCATCGCGGCGGTTTTACTCCTCGTGCGCTTGCTTCCAACCATGGTTGTTTGGAAGGCTTCGGTGGATTGGAAAATATGAGGAACGGATTCCTTGAGCACGCGTTGAGTATAACTCGTGCTCTCAATGAAAGCACCAAATGTTTGTGCAAATAATCTCACGGGAGAATATTCGCTTCTAGATCCTTCAACCTTCGATCTTCCTTCTCTCTCTTCCTCGATTCCTGTAAAACAGATTGGAGTAAATAGACCACACCCGGGGGGTGTTGGCCAAAGGCCCTCCGATGCCTAAGTTAGTTCGAGTGTTTGTAGGAAAACAATAGCTAAGCAAAGGGTACGGAGTAGTGTTTATGTAGGGTGTGAACCAGGCGGCCGGAGCCGTGTGTGGTGGCCGGAGCCGTGTGGAGAAAATATGGAGAGTGGAGAGGGAGAAAGAGAGAGTTTCGGGTATTTTTCTCGGGTATAAGGAGTAGGTTTAGATGTACCTTGAATGATGAATGAAGTCATCTATTTATAGGAGCCTCGGGGCTAGGGTTTCGTAGAGAATATGCTGAGTTTATTCTCTACCCAAATTCGTAGGGATCGAGTCGGACTGAGATAATATCTGATTTAATGATATTATCTCTTTTTATGGAGATAATATCTAAATTAAACGATATTATCTCTTTTTATGAAGATAATATATGAGATAATGACATTATCTTCTCTTTATTAGGATAATACCTTAATTAATGATATTATCTTATTAAATAAAGATAATATCATGTTAATTAAGATGTTTATCCCAATTAATTAATTGGCCAGATAAACTGGTTCAATTAATTAATTAAAAGAGATAATCTTCTTTTCCACTTGGCGCGCTGTGATTGGAGACGAAAATATTTGCTCCCACAATATTCACAAACTATACACAAAATCAATTTGTAAAGCAGAAGAAAAACGAAATTATGGTCGTCGCTATAAAGGTAAATGTTCTACTATAAATTTCACGTGTTTCGACTATTGATTTGGTTCTGAAAAATACTAAATTTTTACACATCTTCAAGTCCAAATATATAATTATTTTACATATTTGTTTAGAATATCTCCCAAATGCTTGACCATCTCACGTGAGATCAAGATGGTATCACGTGGCAAATTGTACACTTCAAAATCTTGAAGTACTACACATGTGTCGTCAAGAAGACAAGAAGAGTTTACTCTGATTGCAATTAACAAGCATAAGTTTAGTGGTGAAGGCCAGCAAATCCAGCAAGCAATTCATTAAAACTTGGACATCTACATGGGAAAAGCCACATTATTTTAGGTCCAATTGAAGGGGAACCACAGTAATCATTCACGATCATGCAACTTTGACTCTTGTAGCTAGATCTTCCAATCTCATTAATATCTTATTGATTTGCTAATCTCAGTGTTTTCTTCCCCAAGCTTTACTCTTTATACTATTGCAAAAAGTGTCGTCAAGATGACCGGTTCTTATATTTTAGATAGTAGAACATTGCATAGGACTCATTAGTGTAGTGGTTTAGAGTAATTACTCACCTAGGTAATGTTATAGGTTCAAGTCCTAACATCCATGTATTATGTTTAAGTTTAATATACTATTGTACCTCTTTCGATAAGAAAGATCCTAATAAAAAAAGATAGTAGAACATTTACTTCGCATCTAAGGCAAAAATTTGACCTCTCACCTTCTTCAAAGCAATACGTAGGCCTACTAAAAATGTAAATCACAATAGAATCCATCCAACAAATCGGGGTTACCCAAAACCCTAATTAAAATTTGGGGACCAGAACCATGTAACATTAAATGAAAGAATATGACCCTTTCTGACTTATCTACAGCCATAAAGAAATACATGGCCATGCCAAAATCTATCATACTCTTTCAATTCTTTGCGCATTTTATTCATGTAACCACCCCCCCCCCAACAAAAAAAAACTAATGGATGGAATCCTACTGCTCCTCCTTTTCATGAATTGAAGTGGGTGGATAATGAATGTAACAGTAATATTTGTAGGTCCTAATCAGACCTCTACCAAACAGCAGGAAATCAGAATTTCTGGTAATTTTTTTTTGGTAATCAGATGGAGGTAGGTTTTTGTTTCTTTCATAGGGCCCCATGCATTCTCATTTCATTAGCAATAAAAGGGTGTATCTGCAAGTCTTCGACACCAAACAGCAAATAGGATGTTGGGGGGGATTTGAGTCATGGGCTGGTTTTTGTTTTCTTCCATCTCATGTACCCTAATCTGTGACCAAAAGCCGAAGAAGATATCTAATAAAATCATCCACCTGTATTTTAAGTAGTTTTGCTCTTGGTTTATTTTATTTTAATTATTTGTTAAACATAAGTGCTACAATTGGGGTGAAATGTGTCTTCGAGTAAGACACATCTCCTCTTTCTTCCGTACCTAAAGGATTGGAGAGTGGGATGGCTCCCACACTCAAATTATCAAATGGAATTATGGTTGTCTACTTTATCACATTTCACCATCACATTGGACACAATAATGCTAAATTGACTAAATTTACTCGCTAAATAATGTGTCAATCTATTACCTGTTCGTAATATTTACAACATACTTTATATTTGAATAGATTAAATTCTGTGACGTTATTTGGTGAACTTATGTATTCAATGTATCTGTCAAAAAATTTCGAGTATTTTAATAATTTTCAAATAATTTGTCATGCTTGAGGAAGTTGTTCGATAGTGAGAATAAATTTTCAATGAATCATAAGGGACATGTGGTACAAGCTGGTAGTTTTAGAATCAAAGAATCTCCAAATGAACAGATACCTTTAGCTATAAGCTGCTGAATGATTGAACAATTTTCAAGTGGGTCTGCCCTAATTTGGGCTCTTAAAGAAATTGTGGATCAACCACACGATAGTGGGTCTCACCAATAACTCATAACGATATTTGTGACATGGATCTCAAAATCCTTCCAAATCCAAAGCATAGCTAGCTACATCAATGATATTAGGGAATCCAAATACTCCAACTCGGGGGATGGACCACAAAGTGTAATTCCATAGGTTTGTAGATAAAAATTACACAAGATTTGCCAACAGGGATCTAGCCCAATTGGAAAATGACTTTGATTTACAGACAAATGGTCTTAGGTTTAAATCCTCATAGCAACTTGGTACATGTTTCAAACCCATGATACCCGGCAGTTGTAGAAAAGTCTCGTTCCCCAATGTCGTTTGTATTAAATAAATAAATAAAAGATTTTGAACATAATAATCTTCCCGACAATACCATTTTTTACCTTAACCCAAGGGCCCATCTAAAAAAGTAAACTACTTTTTGTGAGTTGTACCCAACATCAGTCGCTTTATGAAAGGTCCAACCCATGCAATGCAAGCCCTTGAATTTTCTTGGAATTTGCTGGCTCAAGTTGTGAATCAGCAATGCAAGCACTGCTGGCTCAAGGTCCAACCCATGCAATGCAAGCACTTACGGATATTTTGACCAAGTCAAAGCGAACTACATGGAAGTATTTTGTAACAGTAGTGCTATGATGTCACAATAGGAAATGATTTGGTCCACAAGAATTTTATTTGGTTACGTTACGTAACACGGTAAATAATGTGGACGGACAAAGTCAAATTTCTAGCTAAAATGAGACTAATAAAGCAAGCATATAAAAACAGAAGGAATTTAAAAAAATAAAATGAAATTTGAGAGCACACAAACTGCTTCAATGCTAACTTTAATTCACAACCCCAGTTGGATTTACAGCAAGGAATATAATGAAATAAATGTACTACAACCGCATCCTATTTAGGAAAAGATTATATTATATATTCGCTAAGCGTGAGAAAAAGATGAGTTACTGAAAACTTGGGATGAATGGATCATTACACCATAAGCTTAAAACTCACAACCAAGAGCTTCATACAGATGGAAAATACTTGTTTAGATTGAATGGTAGAGAATAAAACTCCTCGCTCCTTGAATCGCTCTTGAACGACCGGAACTTGTCCCACCAATTCTTACCCCTGTCTTTCCTAACTGAACTATCTCTTCGGTGCAGTGTGTTGTCCAGGAAATATGCCACACATCCTGCGACAAAAGCTTCCGACTGCAGAGGGACATTGATCATATCGTTGAACTGCCAAATACAGGTGAACATGTATGTATGTCAGTGAAGATTATAACCAAGCATTACATGATTCAATAAAAGCAACACCGGGTTTGATGTTTGGTGCATACCCATCTTCCTCCTGAGTGGACTGGACCGTAACCCTTGATAGCTGTGTATTCATTGAAGTACTGTGGCACAGACAGTCCCATGAAGATAGAGAAGCCTAATATGAACTTTGTTCGGAAGCTGTTCAGGTTGCAGAACTGAAGAAAGCTAAGGCCTCCAGCACCTGTGGATGCATGATGAAATGGAATATATCATATAACAAATCTGATAACAAAATGAATCAACCGCCCACATGTCTGCTTGTTAACATGATGAATGAGCTGCACATACCAACATAAGCAAAGAAAAGACAATACAAAGCAGCAATGATGGGCCCTGGGATTGATGCGAAGACCGCTCCAAATTTGCCTGTACAATGATGAAATGATGAGTAATAATAACAGCCGCTAACAATTGCCAGCATAACAATAATTACAATGTACATTGAATTGAGAATATCTCACAAGTTAACAACTTACCCAGAATGGAGAAAAATATCATGAACCCAGCAGATATTTGTACAACCCTTCGACTACCAACACGTGTCAAGGCCAAAAGACCAGCATTCTCTCTGCTCAGAGACAAAGGGAAGTCTTAGAACAAGGTAGAAACTCTGTTTTCCTCTTAATAGAAGTATGATGTTTAAACAGCATAAACGTTCCCTATTAACAGTCTTACACAGATACTGAGGATCCAGTCACAGTTCCAAACAAGCCCGAAATCAGAATGCCAACTCCCTGAGAGTAGAAATTATACAGTTAATTTACAATTGGAAAAGGGGAGCACTATTCGTGCTCCCACAAAGGAGTGCAGGAGTGTTTTGGGAGAGCATGATCTTTGCCAAAATTCAACACGCACAACTGTTCCATATGCAGACAATGAAAATACAACTGCATTTTCTATTGCTCATAAGAATCAATCTTACAGAAAAGCCAGCTAAACAAGTTGTTAAGGAACCATCCCCACCAAATACAAAATAATAATAAAAATAACAGAAGGAAAGCATTGATAGATTGATGACATGTTCAGGTTTGGAAGCAAAATCAAGAAGTTCAAGTGGAAATCAGAGAAGTTCATGCAGAAGCAAAGTCTACGTTGGAAAGAGAGAAGCTTTTGTACCTGCCAACCAACTCCACGACTCAGAATAGCAGGTGGCACTGGAGTTGCACTAGCATACCTTGACACAGCAATGAAAGCACCAGTGGACTGTTTTATCATTACAAATATGTGAGAAATAGGCAACCTTTAAGGGGTCAAAACAAAATGAACGGGTAGTGTTGGAAACAAAAGCAATAATGATTTTGAATTTTGGCTTATCAATTATTACCAATTTAAGAGAATGAGAATTAAAGAGAACAAACCTCAATAAGAGCAACAAAAGATGCCGCCATCATAGCAAAGGCTTCACCAGCATCAAATGAAGGTGCTCCCCATTGGAAGGGGTATGGAACTCTTATCCTGCAAACCCAAGTTCCAATAAGGATTCATTTCCAACAAATATTTGGTACCAATCCAGAACATAAGCCATGATGGTGAATAAATATTTACATTTTAACAAAGGTAATAAATGATGGAAATGTCATAGTATGTCTAAACTTCCTAGCATGGTTTGGGAGCCTATTTTAAAAAGAATAACAAAAGGAAATTTCAGTTTAATAATTCCATGTCCACCAAAGATTTTGCTTTAGAGTTCTATACATGGGGAGAAAAGGAAGAATTACAACAATAAAAGTGTTAAAACTATATTAAGGACACATTTCACACTAACCATGGAGCAGCATTTATAAGTCCAGCACGATCAGTTCGGCAGCTTGCCTGTGTTTTTGGGGATGCATCATCATATGCTCCACCAACAGTGAGTAGGTGAGCATAAATCCATACAATCACAATAGAAAATATGACAGCAAAACGGTCAAATATGGGTTTTCCTTTGGGAATTATGTGGGGCATATACTGCATCACAATCATTGCAAAAACAATATTAGCGTTACAAGAATAATTTTTCCACAAGGTTAAAATGATAGAAGGCACAAAGGCAAGACACGTAACAAGGATTTAAACATATCACACATTTAAGGACCATTACCTGAGAAACAAATACTAAAATGACAAGCGCTGGCAGTCCAATCTCCACACATTTGGCAAGCTAAATATCCAGGAAAAGCATCAAGATTAACTGTGAGGACGTTATTCACCGTATATGTGTGCATACGTACACATCTAAGAAGAACACTTACCACTGGAAAACCTAACTCATAGAGTCCAAAACCAACTAGACCAACCAAGGGAACAACTGAAAGTGGGCTTAAAAACCTGAAAGAAAAATATAAAACTGAAAAGTTTTAACCACCATGAATTTTTAAGCTTAACAAGAAAATAATCCCAGTGAAGTATTGAGTTTTCTTTTCTTGTTTTGTTTTGCTTTGCACAGACTTTAATGGAGAAAACTGAAATGTTTCAGTACAAATCTGACAAGTTCTAGACAAATCGTTCTAACCACCAAATTTGACTTTCATTTATTTAGAACCAACCTTGCAACATTACGCCAAAGGCCACTGAAGCCTAAGACTATCTGAAGAGTTGAAGCAACAATAAGAGAACCCTGTATTGCCCGCATTGTCCTCTTAAATTTCTGAAATGAAAGACATCAAAACATAGTCATAAGCACAAGCCTACAGCCAAGTCTGTGCAGATGAGAATGAGAATTATCAGTGGATGCTCTTCAGCAAGTTCATATGACAGATAATCAAAAACAACTACTGTTACCTGATATATCATATGTTGCGCACCAAATGACAAACAACTAAGTTTTATAAAATGACTACCAAGTAAAAAGAGGATGGGTTTCAGAACAAACATCTATAGGGTCGTCACTATCACTGAATCGGCCAGCTAATATGATTGAAATTGTGGTGGGGACAAACGTATACGACCCGCCAATCACTGCTGGTAGTCTGGTCCCAAACAATGTCTGTTGCAATGTGTTCAAACCAGCAACAAAGAGTAGGGTCTGGATCACCTTGGCCTTCTCCTCCTATAACAGTAGTAAGAGACACATACATATATCAGGTGGTCAAATTTGAAGAAAAACACAATATTTGGTTGACGTCAATTAGAATTTAAGCAATAAGTTCTTCAGGTCTTACATTTCCTCCTCCCATCTGGGGAACAAGAGCACTGGGAATGAGAACTGAGGTTCCAAGCATGACAATGTAATGTTGAAAACCAAGGAGAATGGCATCGGCTGCACCAGTAATGGCCCACGATTTTGTTATATCACTGTTCAATTATTCATGACTAGCTAATGAAGTAACGACATGAGTTAAGAGTAATGAAGCTCAACTACATTAAAAATCAAAACTACCCAATATCTGCAATGCCACAACATATTCAATTTAAATTTCCTAAACAGAAGACGGTCAAACAGAACTTAGAGCACCATTACCAAAGAGTGACAGAAAAGCTTTGCCAAAGGGACAAAGAGTAACGAGAAACCAGAGCCATGAGAGAATTTTACAGGTGCCCAATAAACAAAAGTCAAATGGGTTCCCACCAAATTAGAGTTGGGCACATAGCTTAGGTTACGCCTAATGCAAACAAGATGGCAGGTTACGAAAATAGTACAAAACTTAATCAGTACAGCTGCACAGGCAAAGAATAGATAACCAAGCAATTAACAGAATATATATAAAAAGATTCAAATAAATCCCCCCAGAAAGGCAATCAAAAAAGAAAAACAAAAGAAGGATGGAATTTCAACTTTTCATTTCCTTTCTGAAAAGCGGTATCTACCAAAGAAAAAGAGATAACTAAAGAAAAGCTACTTTCAACAATTCAATACATGAATCTCGTATCCAAAATAAAATAAATTAAAGAAGAAAATTATATACAACCTGCCTGAGATATGCCAAAAAGATCCACAAGAATCACAGTTAGAAACTAAGATCCACCATGAATACTCTTACACTATCGTTAAATAAGGGAACAAGAGCTCAGAATCCAAATTAGGAAAAGAAGAAAAACAATCATTGAATGTGGATTAGAGGTACTCACGCCATGGAGGTGGACTTGTAATGCAGTAAGAAATGTTGGGGAGCTGTTCTTTTGGTGGGTGTGGCTGTGGCTCGTCTACTTTTGGAGCTCCACCGCCTCCTCCTCCTCCTCCTCCTCCACCACCTGCCATGATTCCTCTAGAGCTTGCTTTCTCTCACTAAAAAACACCAGAAACAACTATGAAGCTCAAATCTAAGCAAAACCCAGATCCCAAATCTAGCAAAAACCCTCTAAAACGAGCTGAAAGCAGGAAAAACAGTCAACAGTGTGATGACCGAAAAGATTGAACCACTCACATGTATACCCACTAAACTACCAAATAATAGAGATGGGAACTGTGCGAATAAGAAAGAAAAAACAAAATGATAGTGTAACCGGAAGCTTCACGAAGCGAGCACAAATAATTGCACAAGAAAATATTCAGAAAAATATAAGCACATATAAAAGCACCTTTTAACTAGCAGCTGAAGTAAAGCAAAAGCCAAATATGAAAGCAGGGGAAGCTCTCTCTAAAGTCAAAAATCCATATACCCCACACCCAAAAGCTGTTCACGCAAAATGGGTAGAGAGAGAGTCAGGCAAATCCAGGTGCTTAGTTGAGCAAAATCACAATATGTAAACACAAGTTAAGAGGCGGTACAAGAGGTGTGACTGTAAATATGATAAAACGGGAAGTGAGTGAGATATGATATACCAAAAAAATGTTCAGAGCAGCAAAAAAGTTTTTTGTATTCTCGACTCTCTCTCTACAAGTTGAAAGTCTCCCTCTCTCTCTCTCTCTCTGGGAGCTCCACTGTACACACTATCTACACATTTCCTTCTAACAAGAAAATACACCCTACCAAACCTTATTTATTGAGCTTAGCAGAAAACCATTTATTTATTTTTTTAATAAAGTTTATGTTTTTAGTTTAATTTTTGGAGGTTTCTTTGTTTGTTTCTCTCGGTGTGGTTCAGCTGTGCAAAATGCCAGAGGGAACCTCTTAAAACTCCGTGGTTGAAATAATACTTGTCAAGCCATGGACGATCAGATACAGGTCGTCAGGAGAAAACGACACCGTTTGAGTTTGCGTTAAATCAGATAAAGGTACTTCCTTGACAATATCAATTCCCATTTACCAACATCCCCAGATGATGCACCGAGATTTGTTAATTTATTGAAAGACGTTAATACCCCTTACGAAAATATAAAAGTATAACATATCGTTTTCTTTAACAAATCGACACGAAACGAGCCGTTCAGCTAACAGGCAAGAAAGCAATGATGTAATACGGACGAAGAACTCATCCGCAATTTAAAAGTTAACAAGTGTGAATGAAAATTGAAATGAAATATTGTGCACCTTGAATTGTTCGTGGATAGGTTTTTTTCTTATTGCAATTATTATAGAGGGTCCTTGTAAACTTACTAGTTTGTAATCCTCATTAACAGGAAAAACCAATTTTAGTGACGTTGGCCTGATCTTAGCATTTCCGACCCTCCACTTATTGGTAGATATATTGGTTGATTCACGATCAAATTTATCAACCTACTAGTAGTTTTGCAAACTCAGGAAACGTTGTGATAAAAATGATTTGATACCAGAAAAGCAACAAGTATAGTAGTAGGGGTAATTTGGGGAGTTGAAAGAGAATGATCACATGGGCGCCCAAAGCATGAGCCAATAGTGAAAGAAAGAAGAGCCGACAAAATTCTTCATCAGTCAAAATCGCCCTACCCCAATCCCTGCTTTTCTGTCCCTTCCCTTCACTAAACAAACATATACGCAATTCACTCCCAATACAATCCCAACTGGCTTCCTCTACCAATTTTCCTCCTCTTTTTCCATCTCTCTCTTTCCTTCTCTTTTTTCCTTTCTTGTTTTTCAAGCAAGCCCACCCACAGCTCCCAATTGGCTCATAACCCTTTTTTCTCTTTTCCTGATTTTCTGTCTTTTGGGACAAGGTAGGTTAGGTAATCTCAGAAGTCCAAATCCTTTTGCAGCCACAACTCTGGAGATGCTAAATCTGACTGATTAATCCTACATTAATTAATTAATTGTCATTGTGTACTAAGCAAAAACAAGTCACAGTCCAACTCATCAACCGTTGCAGTCATTCTCAAGTTTATCTGTTGATTATTCTCTTATAATTTACATGGGTCACAATCGTAGAGCAGGTAGAGAAGTGAACCCAGGACAATCAAAATAAGAATATTGTGACTGGATTTTCTGACTTTGTATTCTATATATATAGTTATTCTTTCGTTCGGACGTCCTTACATTATTATCGTCCAGACATCATAATAAATATATAGGAAAGCTTAGAGGGTTAATACAAAATACACGACCTCCACACAATAATAACATCCAGACGTATCTATATATATTTATATATTCCCCTATGCAAATTCTAATTTCATACACTTCGTGATTGGTCAAAAAAACATGCTTTTGTATGTACATATTCGGACCACGTGTAATATATTTTTGTACCAGAGAAGTTTTAGCTAATTGTGGGGGTAAAACAGATAACATAGAACAGAGATTGTAGAGGACGACAGAGGTCTATTTGAAAGCCAAATATATTTGATCCTCCTCGACCCTCAAAACACTAATTGTTTTTGTTTGAATGTGCTATTTTCTTTTTGGCACTATTCACTTTGATCTTATTCGTTACATGAAATGTGTTTTTGGGATGTAGCACATCACGTGGTGAAAAAAGATAATGTGAGGCTTTGAATGTATTTACCAACAAAAAAGGAAATAAGAAATTGAATTTACCCAAATATTTTTTTTTGTGTGTGTAGGTTTTTTTAAAATTTTTTTAATGTTTAATACATACCATATTTTATTTCCATTTAATTTGAACTATGAAGAGGTGATTCAAACTTGGGTGCATAGTGAAAAGCATATCCACTCTAAGGCCTAGAATCTATACTCTAGCCAACTTAACTAAGAGCATTTCCAGCAGACTCCCTATCATCTCATCCCTAGCTATTTTGGCTAAAAAGAAGGAAAATTCTTCTTCCAGCAAACTCCTTACTTGACTCTCTATTTTGGAAAACCAACTTATGGCTCTCTATATCTAGCAAGGAGGAGAGAGAAATGGTGGCTCGCCAAATTGAAGAGAAAGAGAAAGATAGAGAAAAAGAAAAAGAAAATAATAACAAAATATTTCATATTAGTCAAAATAGAGAACATTGCTAAAGAAAACACCTTTTAAGTGGTTTGCTATAATAGTTTTCTAGCTATTTTAGCTGGAATTTGGCTAAAATTTGGGGAGTCTCCTGGAGATACTCTAAGCAAATGTCTGTTGTTTAGGTTTACTTTATTTTCTATTATCGTTGTCATTAGCCATATATTGAACGATGACTAATATTGATTTTGTTGTTGTTGAGAAATTCTATGATTGCATTCATAATTTAGACAAAAAAGTCACTAGCCACAAAAAGGCCATTAAAGCACTTCCAGCCATGCAGGCTAGCATGAGCAGAAGGCCCCCCAACCCACAAAAACGAACTCCAACCGTGAAGGCTAGCTCGGGAAAGGAGTGGGCTCCATTAGCTTGGGTTGCTGCTTGGGTTTGCTGACGTTAGCATGATATCAGCAACCAATTTAAATACTAGAAATTTATAAATAAAAATATATCAAAAAATTCATAATTTTTTATTATTTATAAATACCTAGCTATGTTTTTCACTTCCCACACAAAAACTCCATACAAATTCCTTTCCTTATATCTCATGTGAATAATATTTGCATTTACTTGCCATGACAATGCGTGGAAAAGCAAAATAAAAAAGGGTAAGGCAATCACTATTTATGTGAACTGCCCTTACTTGCCCTTATTTGAGGTACTGAGTACTGCCAACAATATTTTAGTGAAAAAGATGGGGAGCCAAAGCCTTTTTGGGTAAAAAATAAAGTCTTTATTTCATGTGGCATCATGATTGCGAAGATTAAGGACAGATTTGTGCTTAAACTAAATCCAAAGATTGAAAAAGATAAGTAAAAATTACACCATGTTTTTAAAATATTTGTCATCAATCATTATATTACCTCAAATTTCCTGCGCCCACATGATAGCTTCAATTATGCCATATTGAAAGATGAGTGGACATCTTGATTGGTCCACGACTAAATTTGTCAAAATTATAAAAAAGTTTTCATGAGAAAAAAAAATTAGAGAAAGTAATTGAACTTTGGGAATATGTGTAAGATTAAGATGGAGCTGGGTAATTTTGTCTTTTTCTTTGTATGCTGTAAGGACATGTCAAAATCATATTGGTAGGAGCTTTTTAATAAAGGGGTTCAAACCACCTAACCTTAATTGAAGATTAAGATTGAGAAAGTTGGGGACAATCTTGGCCTATGGTATTTTAAAAATGATGTAAATACGAGAAAGTATGAGGGTAATGATGAACATTATTGAATTGGGAGGGGTGAGAAAGAGAGAAGAGAAAAGGTGCATGGAGGAAAAAAACAAGGGACAGAACGTGGGTGTTGCCATCAGAGTTCTTTAGGAGATACTCAGATCACCCAAAACCCTAGCATCCATGCGGGGACCACCTGCATGATGGCAAATTTATCTGCCCTTTTTAGACCTTTTTTTATTGTAAAGAGAGAGAACTGTTTGGTGCTTTTTCTTTCTCACTCACTCACTATCTTCTTTTTATTTCCCTTTTCATTAGGGTTAGTGGTGACTTTATCTGTTTCAATTAGATTAGAACCACAAAGAAGAAAAAGAAGCCAGTATATTCTTGTCCCTATATTGTAACTTACATTATTGATATGAAAATTGCATTGCGATTTATGACAGGTTTGACGGTTCTGTGCTATCCGTACTAAGCTTTGATATAATTTGTGTGAAATCTACTGCATAACAATATACTCCACTTATTTTTCACTATAACTACAGAGAATCTACCAAATAATCTTTGCTAAAGAATTTTGGGCACTTCTTTTCATGAAATTCACACACCCAAAACTAAGGTACTAATAATTCAGTTACCCAAAACTTTGAACTAATAACTATACCTAAAAAATAAAATAAAAACTAATAATTGGAAAATATATTACATGGGCTTTAGTTGTAGGCCATTTAGGCCTTTGCTTGTTGGGCTCTTGTGACTTTCTATTGGTCTTGTTTGGTTTTAGTCTCACGCAATGGGCTTAGGCATATTCGGCACTCATATTAAACCCAATTGCCCGAATGCCCAAATGACGAGAAAGGCTCTGAAATTACCATAGCCAGAGTCACCCTTCTGTCTTCAAGCTTCATCCACCACGACCCAGTATCAGGAGCCCCCCAAAACGCCGCAATCAACCTCCACACGTAAGCGGTTGCTGGGTTTTCTTCATATTTCGTTTTGCCAAATGTCTATATTGCTTCACAGCAGCTTTTGACTGCTTGGATGTGTTTTTCTTTCATGCTTCAGTAATTTCTGAAAATGGCAACCTTTGTGTTTGTGAAAATGCCCAAATGAAAGATACCCAAATGAGTTTTTTTGGTGGGGGGTTAACGACGAATGTGATGCGCCTTGTGCTCCAACTATGAGTTTCTGCTTGTTCTCATTCTGTTTTCTGATCCCCTTCCCTTGTTATGCAGCAATCTAAACACAATGTTGATGGTGTCAAGGTATTTTAGGAGAACACTCTTTTCTGCAGCTAAATCAGAAACTTCTGCTGCAGCTACTTCAGCTAGGACGACGGGACATAACCCTCTTGAGGAGTTCTTTGAGGCAGATAGAAGCCAAGATGAAGAAAAGCCAGTTGTCTACGGTACATACCGTTCATTTCCGTTGTTTCTGGCTGTCCATTACCCATATGAATTTGCGTATTTGATTACGTTGTCAACTATCATATTTATGTTGAAAGAAGCTGACTTTAATATGATTCTAGAACTGCAAATACGACAATTTGGGTATGGAATTCCAGTTACATGCTGATTACAATGTGCCAAAATATTTTTATTTATAACTGGAGAGAGTTTAGAAAGATTTGAGTTACGGAAAAATGTTGTGCTCCCATTATGATTTTAATGTTATTACACTCAACATTGCAAGAGATTTTAGAATCAATCATGGAGATCAATGGGAAGGTGTCCCAGCTGCTTCATTTAATTGTTTCATTGCTTACTAGTTCTGTACTGAAACCCCACAAATACATTCCTTATTACTCGGTATACGTTGCACTTGATGTTAACTTTTTAAAGTGGTTTTTTTATTTCCCTCTTCTTAACCACTATCCTTCCGTATTGTTTAAACCATTCTAGGAAAAAGTTACATAATCTCAATCTTATTTTGATATTCTGATGCCATGTCCTTAATGCATTACTGTCTGTCTGATGCAATCTGTATTGATTCAGTGATGGATCCTATTTTTAATACTTCTTTTGCTGTCAGGTCGAAGTTGGAAAGCATCTGAACTGCGTCTGAAGTCTTGGGATGATCTCAATAAGCTATGGTTTGTTCTGCTTAAGGAGAAAAACATGCTGATGACTCAACGCCAGATGCTTCAAGCCCAGAATCTACGGTTTCCTAATCCTGAGCGCCTTCCCAAAGTATGACCCTTTCTTTTAACCATTTTTTGTATTATTCTGACGAACAAATGCTTGGGAAGTTTTTAAAAAATGTTTGTTTGCATGAAAACTGGTTACCTTTCCGTGTTTTCACTCCTAATTCTGACTTTCTCAATATTTTTCTGTCTACTTGCTCAGTCTGTTGTGTGATATCCATATATTTTGCTTGCACTTTATATGGAAGTTTGAAACTCTAAGGAAGTCAATAAGCTATGCTTGTGCCAGAACCATGTTGCAGCAAACTATTTCTTAACACTAGATTCTCTGCTTTTTGAGTATTAGAGTTTATGTATCTATGTTCGGATGATGCCACTTGCATTTCAGTTATGTTTAACTGCTGGACAAGCAAAAGTTCTTTTTCGATTATGTTTAAATTGGCTGCTTCAGAGTGGTTCCAAAAAAGAACTTTTCGAACTTTACTTTGTTGTTGTGGTCGAGTTTTGTGTCTTCTACTTGGATATACTGTTGCCATCCTGATTTCTTCTTGTTGATGTCATCATGAAATTCAGGTGAGGAAGTCAATGTGCCGTATCAAGCATGTTCTGACTGAGAGAGCAATTGAAGAACCTGATCCCAGGAGGAGTGCTGAGATGAAGAAAATGATAAATGCTTTGTGATAACTTACACATTCTCCATCTCCAGAAGCACTGTTATGTTTGTGCACAGCCGATGCTGCCCTTTTTCTCCTTGTAGGACTAGAAACTTGTAGTGATTTAATGTTTTTACGGATTAGCGGACAACTCGTAATCTTTTCTTAGAATCTATGATGGTTGTCTTTGTGTTCTGATATAGTCTTACGATGGCTTTGTTAGCAAATAATTGAATACTATTTGTTCCAGTGACTTTCTGGCTCGAATTTCTGCATCACATTTTCTTCAATGTCTCTTGCATGTACAGTTTCATTTCATGGATCCCGTGTCTAATTTTCAGGGGCCAACAAATATAGGAGAATACTTGTTGCCTATTTCTGCTCTCTCCATACTTGAACCCAAGACTGTAGGCCCAACATGGTCCTTCATACAGTGGCCAGGCAAACAAACTAAAATTGAGAATTAGACGACCCCAATGTTGTTGAATTGCTTTATATTAATGAAATATCGGTTTAAAAACCAACAATGATGGTGATTGCCTACTCTCTCATTATTTTCTTCAATTTTATATCGGTTTCTTATTTTTATTTCTATGTTCATTCTCTTTGCCAACCTACAATGTGAAAATTGAAGTTGAGACTTACATGACAACAAGAAGATGATCCCTCGGATGCAAATGTTAGAATGCGTATTAATTTCTTATGCAAGACTAATTCTCTGTGAGATTTACAATCTTCACACGCTCCCATATATATGACGTTACTTAAACATAACACACGTAAACAACATATATCGAATAATATATCACTGTTAAATAAATTGGCTCAAATACGATGTTAAAAAAATTCCATTGTCAACAAAAGTTCAAAGTAGAAAACAAAACCTCTTAACAAGTTATTTATGTAGCAAAAGGATAATACAAAATGAAAACTTAAAAAGGCAGATAGGAACAAACAAAGACCACATGATTTTCATAGACAGAGAGTAGAGTAGGCAGGGAGGGGCAGGTTGCAGTGGGTGATGCTTACTTAAGCCAGAAGCTCAGGAAAAATCAATCAATTCAATATATTTTCCTGGCAGAGAGACAGAAACATTTACATCACCCCTTCTCTCCTCCCCTTCTTTTCCCCTTGCTTTTAGTAATGTGTGTTGGAACAACACAAGACAACCTTAACTTGTCCATCATAGGCCCTCATGTGAAGTGAATGCTGCTTCTGTTACCCCAAAATTACATTTATACCCTTCCATGACAGCTTGACTGGCCCCATCCAAGCCATCATCATCTTCTGCCCTCTTCAGTCAGAATCCTCCCTCACTTCCCAAACTGCCCCTCACCTCCTTTGAATAAAATACCCAAACAAGAAAAAGAAAAAGAAAAAAAACAAACACACACAAAAAAGTTTTTCACTTTTGAGTCACAGAGTGATCAATACTCTCAGGCAGATGGTGCCCAAGAAATCTCAGAAAATTCAAAGTCAAATGAGAGCACATTTGGGTCAACACAATCTCAGCCAACAGTTCCAGAGCTGCAGTGAAATCTAGTCCAGTCACATATTCTAATTCTATAAATATTGGGGGCACATTGTTTCTGTCACCTCACCCGTGGGTGAGGTTATAATTCTCCTGCCCGGACTGCCCAATCTGCCCGCCTGCCCGACCCTGCAGCTTGCTCTCTACCAAGTACCAAGTACACCTTCTCTTTTTGCCGTCTGGTTCTTTCTCTTCGATTTTCTCTCTCTAACTTCTCTCTCTTTAGATCGAAAGGCGGCTCGAAATCTGGACTTGTCGTTGGATCTGAGTTTCAATTAGATCGATCGCTCGGTGTATAGAATCATCAAATTGTCGGAAATCGATTTGAAATTTAGAATTTCGTTGTATTTATACTCGTCTGGGGGAAATTAGGGTTTCATTTTAGCGGAGATGGTCGATCCAGGGTTTCGCAGAGGGCGAATTGGTGAAGAAGCGTGAAAAAGGAGGGGTTTTGAAGGGAATTAAGGGGTGATATTGATGGTACTTGTTGGAATTGAAGGTGGGATCGAGACTGGGAGTGGGGAAAATGCAAGGCTATGCATGGGAGGGGAGGTGAGGAGAGGAAACGGGGTCGGCACATGTTGACAGTCCCCACGCGTGTATCCGTGGCCGATGGTTCTTCCTCATCATCTTCGTCTTCGCCCAATTCGTTTTTCAAGGTTTGGATTTTTTGGTGTTTTCTAATATATTGTGATTTTGGGTCTCTGTTCGATTTGTTCCGTGTTTTTGCGGATAATGGTTTGTGGGACTTGTGATTTTTGTGTGATATGGGGTGTGTATCAGTGGAGAAGTGAAGTGGGGTTCCGTGAATTGCTTGGTATTTTGCTTGTTTTGTAATACAAAAAACATATATGGATTTGATGTTGTGTAAAGATGAGAGTGTTTTTGACTTGGGGATAGATAGCTGAGAGAACCAGCCTGTTAGATATGAAAATTAGCAAATGCAACCAGTTTGTGAAATTAGAGAGAGGATCGTACAAGGGAAGGTGCAAAGTTGGAATTCATTTCCTATTTGTGGTTGTGAAGGATCTCTATCCTGAGGGAGGGGTGTTCGGTATGCTGAGTGGGAATTATGGTGGTTTTTGGGAAGAATGTCAATTTGGTGCCAATTAGAAGTGTTACCTTTTGTGGGTTCAATTAAATCCCTGCTTCATATGACGGGAGTTTTTATGCAGTTGTTGAGCTATTGATTTTTATTGTGATGGATATTTGTTGAAAACTCTCCCCCCTCGCCCCCTTTCCTCTGTATGTATGTGTTTTGTAGATCAGCTAATCAGGTAGCCTTTTGAATTATCTGTTTTCATATATATTCATTCAGATCACTGTGGCAAGTAATAGGTTCAATGAAATTATGTGGTCAATAGTTTTGCTTCCTTTATTATTTTTAAGTGGAGAACACTTCATGATTATCTGGCCTTTGAATTTTGCCACAATAGTGCTTTATTTATTTTCCCTGTTCTCAGCTTAATGGCTCTTGTCTAGAAGGAACATCAAAGCATCCCATTTTCTGATATTACGGTAGTTCTGTTTTCTTTCTTTAATTTCGCATTTTGAAAGTTGAGGAAAGTATGTATCCTAGGGATTAATTGTGAAAATGCTCCCTCATGTGGGGGGAGCAAGAATGGAAGTGATGCCTGGGGGTAGTGTTATACCTGCAGAAGATTTTGTGAGCAGTGTAAATTTGACTCTAGTAAAAAATTTGGACTTAGTTTTCAATTAAAGGAACTCCAGAAAGTATTTTTTACTTTTTATAGGTTGAGTAAAGGAAAGGGAATCTGTGTCTTCCCTTAAGATTTTGGTGTCAGTGCTTGCATTTGTCCTAGATCAGCCTAGGTTCTTGCTAAGATATTAGAATTTTGAAAGTTTTGGGTGGTATGATGAGAATGGCTGCTCATTTGGTATGATGAAAGTGTTAAGTGTATACTGTTACTGGTTGTTATATTTTTCTGAACGTCCTTTGTCATGTATATTGATTATTGAAGATGTTCTGCATTTTGTCTGCGTGTGTTTGCTCAGTCAGACCAGCATAATGGTCCTCTAAACTAATCTATTTTTGTAGGACGGACGCAAGATCAGTGTTGGCGATTGTGCACTTTTCAAACCCCCCCAGGATTCCCCACCTTTCATTGGAATAATTCGTTGGCTGACTATAAGCAGAGAGAACAAGTTAAAATTGGGTGTAAATTGGCTTTATCGACCTTCTGAAATAAAGCTTGGCAAAGGCGTCCTGTTGGATGCTGCGCTGAATGAAATTTTTTATTCCTTCCATAAGGATGAGATTCCTGCCGCATCGTTACTTCATCCGTGTAAAGTTGCATTCCTTGCTAAAGGTGTTGAACTTCCGACAGGGATTTCATCTTTTGTGTGCCGGCGTGTTTACGACATCACAAATAAGTGTTTATGGTGGCTAACTGATCAGGACTATATGAATGTGAGTTTTAGATCCTTTCTGCATCTTTGTGTTGTGCTCGTATTTCTAAACATTCAGAGTAGTTGATATCATTTCTTCTGACAGGAACGACAAGAGGAAGTAGATCAATTGTTGTACAAAACGCGAGTAGAGATGCATGCAACTGTGCAGTCTGGTGGTCGATCTCCCAAACCAATGAATGGTCCAACATCAGCATCACAGTTAAAAGTCGGGTCAGATGGTGTCCAGAATAGTGCCTCATCCTTTTCTTCTCAAGTTAAAGGGAAAAAAAGGGAGCGGGGGGACCAGGGCTCTGAGCCTGTCAAACGAGAACGTACTACGAAAATGGAGGATGGAGATTCTGTTCACAGTAGACAGGAAAGCATTTTAAAATCTGAAATTGCTAAAATAACAGATAAAGGAGGGCTTGTAGATTCTGAAGGGGTTGAGAAATTGTTGCAGCTCATGTTGCCTGATAGAAATGAGAAAAAAATAGACTTGGCTGGCCGGTCAATGCTTGCTAGTGTTGTAGCAGCCACAGATAAATTTGATTGCCTGAGTCAATTTGTGCAGCTCAAGGGTGTGCCAGTATATGATGAATGGCTCCAAGAGGTCCATAAAGGGAAGATAGGTGATGGCAGCGGAACCAAAGATAGCGACAAATCTGTTGAGGAGTTTCTCTTGGTTTTACTTCGGGCACTGGATAAGCTTCCTGTTAATCTCAATGCTCTGCAAATGTGTAACCTTGGAAAGTCTGTAAATCACTTACGGACGCATAAGAACTTGGAAATTCAGAAGAAAGCGAGAAGCTTAGTTGATACATGGAAGAAACGCGTTCAAGCTGAAATGGATGCAAATTCTAATGTAAATCCGGCTGTCTCCTGGTCTGCAAGACCACGCCTCTCTGAAGCTTCTAATGGTGGAAACAGGCATTCAGGCGGATCCACTGATGTTGCTGTGAAGAGCTCAGTCACACAGCTTTCTGTATCCAAATCTGCTTCAGTTAAGCTTGTCCAAGGAGATAGTGTTACCAAATCTGCTTCTGCATCTCCGGGATCTAAATCAGTTCCATCACCAGTGTCAGCAA